ATTTTAAATTATAATACAGTTAAGTACAAATTTCACTGCTTCATTTTGACTCCATGTTCAAAATTGGATCATTAATTGCAGATATGAAGCAATAAAATACAAATAGTTGCATCTGAAAATAACTGAATTCTCAGTGACCTTGGCACAAAAAGAACCTCCCATACTGTATACTGTGTATATTTACAGTAGAGTCCACAGATTTCAGCGTTGTGTGTAATAGTGAATCCACAATGAATTCCTTAACTTGCAGGCTTTTTCTGTATTGCGGCAAAACGATTGCCTGCTTTTTGTGCAGTATTGCCCTCCATCTGTCCGTTTGTACTGTACAACCATACAGGAGCCCTCTCCAGCAGTGCATCGCGGGATGGGAAGAGCTTCCTTCAAAGACGCAAGCGGCCATGCACTCCTCTACTATGGCACATTGGTATCAGTTACACCATAATTTCATCACCAGCAGCTCCCTGTGAATCCTGCTTACATTAACTTTTTACAGGGATTGGCAACACAGAGGCAGAGATGCATGGCAGTGCCAGCACTTGAACCCATTTAGATTTCTCCTCCTATTCAATAGTTGGTCTCAACATATTGTTATTTGTTGATGAAGTGTTGTATTTGGATGAACAAATGGTCTGAATTGTGAAGAATCCATGCAGTTACAGTGGGATTACATTGAGAGAAAAGGCGAGGGGGATTAAAAAAACAAGAGGATGGGGAGACTTCAAAGTGGAAAAGTATGCAGGGCTGTGTTTGAATGATGGCTGGTGTATTGTTTTGATAAGTGTTCCCTGAGGAGAACATGTGAGGGAGCGTGTCACTCTTTCCTCTCATCTCTGAGATAGGGAGCTAGGCACCGAGGGAACGTCAAAACCCAGCCGTAATTACAACAATACTGCAGAGCGGCTGCTTCACACTCACACAGCACGCAAACTGCACAAATGCAAATGAATTAATTTGCTTAAAACATGAACCTAAATTAACATGTTCAACCCTGAGATGATGATGATAATACTGGTGCACAGGGAGCAAGGAAGAATGTGAAATGTAGACAATTTAATCCAATCCCCTTGACACACACGTCTGCTTTCATCACTGCTCATTCAGTAGAATTATCAGTTCCTCTAAGTGCTTGTTTGGAGACAAAGCACAATGTCAAATACAGTGTAAATTTCTATATTTGTTTACAGCGAGTCTGAAACTTTAATTAACATTACAGTGTGTCTGCTTACAAATGCAAATTACAAAAGCAACATACATAAACATGGATTAATTCACCCATTACCGTGGCCATGAACATCTTTTAGATGGAGAAATGATGATTACTGTGGGACTCATTATGAAATCTGTTTCATGATAACATTTTGACTTATTTCACAGATTCATTAAGTTTAAAGAAATCCAGGAAACACCACACACTATGTTAAAGGTAATTATTTTACTTGTTAAAATCCTTTATCAAAATGTTACATTTCTCCAAAAGCAAACTCATCTTATATGTTTTCTGTCTTTAGTGTAACTGCAGTTCAATAATTTGGATTTATTGTATTACCTTGCCCCTCGGATTCACTGCAGAGCAACTGGATGTGAATCACAACTTAGTCAACACAAGCTTTTTCACAGCAAATTTCAGTATTTGTACAAAATGACTGGAGGAAGGAGCCCGCGACACAATAGCAATGTTATTCAACCTGTAGGTTTGATCGTTGTCCTGTTAAGTCATTGTTAGTCTATTGCATCAGTCCCCAGCCTAAGGGTCAGGAGATGAGTACGGGGAGAGAAAATATTTTAAAAACTTAAAATCTTGTTAATTGTTTGGACTTTGCTGTTTTATCTGTTCAGGCCTCCAAAAGTGTTCAGATGAGGGAGGAGGGAGGGGGGGGATCACTTTTCAGTTTAAGTGCCACAACTCACGAGGGGTTGCAAGGAGACGCTGGCTCACAAGCAAGTCAAGTCAAATCAGTTTTATTTATTTAGCCTAAAACAGCAATCTGTATATCTTTACTTAAGTCAGATAGATTTGCTTTATTCCATATTTATTTTAGAGATGATGGTGGAACCAATCAGTGCTACTGTTGCCTGCCGTGGCTCTAAACAGAGCAAAATTGAATGCAACATTTGAATTTAATCCCGCGTAAATGAGAATTTTACTGGAAGCAAATGGAAAGCTGAATATGGGACTTCCAAAAAAAAAAAATCACCAAATTGAAAAATTTATGGCTGAGTGGTTTGATTCCATCAGAGTTGCATCTCATAGCCTTCTCTCTGTCACCCTGCGTTTCTTGTCTGTGTCTCTGCTGTCACTCACAAAACAAAGGCAAAATGCCAAAAGCATAATCTTAAAAAGAACAAAAATCAGGACTGACCTTCAAAGAACTGTCAAATCCTACTGACACAGACCTGAATTGATGAAAGCAACCTAAACACGCACTCTTATACTGTATATTAAATTAGACAAAGGAAAAGGTTTATTGACGGAGACAGGCCATCCAACAGTGTCAGTGGACTGAGGGACAAAACGGTGTTAGATCACGTTATTTCTCCGCACAGCAGCTTTCATTTCAGGAATACTGATTCTATCATTACAAAGATATTTATTAAATTTCCACTTTTTAACTCCACTTCAGCTCCCTGGCAAGATCACACACACAGAATCAAGCAGAGCAGATGAGTTTACATCAGGAGAAACCCACATTACTAGATTACTGTTGTCTTTCTCAGGGTGTTCCACCGCAGTCTCTCGTAACGATGTTGTGGTTGGGGGAGAGTGTACCAAGCCGTCCCAGCGATTTCAAGTCATTGTGGTCTCATTACAGCAGGCTGTTGGTAATCCTCTGCCTTTGATCTCGGAGCTGAAGGGAGCTGTGTTTTACTGTAGTTCAAACAATGTTCTCCCTGCTCCCTCAGCACCTCCACCAGGAGCCCTGTGGTAGCTGAGGAGCCACAGCCTGGCAATGTGAGACAGAGGGGCGGGGAGGTTGGGGGTTGGTTTGTTTTTCAGATGAATGCAGGTGAGACAGAAACACAGATGAAGGTTTGCCGGTGGTGTGTAAGTCAGTCGGAGGTTAACCAGAAAGAGATTCATGCTCATCTCAGCAACGGGCTCAGATGGAGCGCGCTTTCACTTCAAGTCAATGCAGAATACTTTATTCATGCCTCAAGGGATGATTGAAGGCAGGCGAGTCCACAAACGAGAGACCAGAGCACAGAATTCAATTCTGGGTAATCCTGCTTTGTCTGTCAATGCACTTTGTAAACTCTCTTCTCAAAGGTGCCATGTACCTAAAGTTATTATTATTATTCATACACAGAAACCCACAAATACAACAGCCTCATCATCATACAAAGCTCTGTTCACAAAAAGTGGATTTATCACTTTAAACCTTCCTGTATTTGATTTATATAGTGTAACTTCAAAAATACAGTACTTTAATCTAAATGACTCATTGTGTGGCCTTCATGTTAAGCTTTTTTTTTTAAAGGACTTCTATAGAATCTAATTCAGTGCTAGGATTAATAGTACTGACTTACCAGCTTACAGTAATGGATGTAAACCAAGGAACTGTGGGATGGTATCAAAACAGCTGCCATCAGTTTTTTTCTTGTTGAAAAACACTGTAATATTTCTCAGCTCGGGTGACGCATCAACCTCTGCCTCACAGCCAGTTTACACCTTGTTTTATACAGTCTATGGTTTACACACCTTTCTCGCAAGCTGTCAAAAGGCATTCTGGGAAATGTACTGCATTCTTTTCTTAAAACACAAAATTAGCTGGCCTTGTAAGAAAACTTCAACTTGTTTCTTATGTAAATTAACTTGTTTCAAGAATGTCTGGTCATTTTGAGCGCCACTGTGCCAAAGTAGGCTACAGCTTCACAGAGCCACTAGAATGGCTGTGGACTATTAGACTTGGGACAACATTTTGGAAAGAAATCACACAGTACTTAGTTTAAAAAAATCTTACTTGACTCAGTAAGAGTAAGTGATTCTGCAGTGAGTAGAGTGGTTGTAAGCAATTCAGGTTTCAGAAAAGAAGGTAAAATTTAAAATGAAAACAAATTCCTCATCAAAAACTGACCATGTGTTGGTCTCCACAATGTTTTGCATGTCATAAAATGGAGATCTAACAACATAAGAGTGTCTGAGGGGGAATTTTCTTTTAAATCTTAAGTCAAACAAAGCATACTAAAGCTAAAAGGCAGTGTCCAGGTCCTTGGAGCTCCCATGGGACTCAAACAAACCAAAGCGGTGCTTAATAAACCTCTAGAAACTACAGCGCCAAAAGAACTGAGGAAACCAATGGCAGCCAGCTCTCTGCTATATCCACCACCTGAAGCTCAACATATCCCTGCTAGAGCTCTGCACACACTGAGACAAACACACACAACCCGTGGATTTTGTTATACCAATATGGGAATCATACAGTCTGATATGGCCTCACTGACAGCTATTCTCAGGGATTGTGCTCATCGCTGGCTCATGTACTGCCGCTGCGGGTTTCTGTTTGTCCCTGATCTTCAACATTTTGGTAGAAGTGTGGATTCCAATAAAGGCTTGTTAAACAACAGATTTCATTCTCCGACTCAAGAGGGCCCTGCATGGCCCAGAGGCGTAAGCTGCTCCTTTGAACATCTAAATCCCCATGCAGCGTCTGACTTCCCTTTGTTATTCGCTGGTGGATGTTCCTTCACTGTTTTTCCGTGTGTACAATCGCTCTGGAAAGGCTCCAGTGGACCGTGTAGAGGGAGCTTTTAGCTGTAAAAGATCATCTGATTGAGATCATCAAGCCCCACTTAATTGAACTTTTATATGATATCTCTGTAGGAGCACAGGGTGAACATATTGTTTTAATAAAGAATTCATCAGCCAGAGATGGGGAGCCAGATTTAATGAGCCCCTCCCTGGATTGGAGATGAGAGACATGAAACAAACAGTCTGCTCTCAGCCCGAATGTCTGCTGCCCTCTCCTGCCTGCTGCTGTGAACACACACACCACGTTCAGATGTGCAGTGCTGTGAATGTGTTTTATTCATTTAATTTTCAGTGATTGAAACGCTCAGAACATGATCTACCGACAGGGCAAAGTGGGCAACTTCCTCCAAAGTTCCAGGTTCACTATTTATCATTTGGTTTTGGCCATTTTTGGTCATGCTAATATGATTCAAACATGTTTTAAAGAAAGCTATGAACAGCTGGTATTTCTGTCAGTTACCAAAAATATATTAAATTTCATTCATGGGACGTAGAGTATCTTCATAAGTCGCCCTGAGATAGCGAAATATTCCTGAATTAGGAACCACTGGCAGCTACTGGAGGCAGGGTGGAGCAGGTTTCCCACCTATGCCCATGCCCACCTGAAAGCTAGATCACAAATTTTCCTTTAGGGCTGTCAATATGCATTCTGGTAAAATGTGATGTATGATGTTGCAGACATCTCATTCTAAAGCCTTTTTAACAAGCAGATTTTTATACTATATCTAAAAATTGTGTTTCTAGGTCTTAATTATATACAGAAATAAACATGATGGGGGTTGTTTTGCAGTGAGTAGACAATGTATGCTGAGGAACATGTATACAAAAAAACAAACAAAATAGCGTGCTTTAAATGTTATAAAATGAAAAGGATTAATAATGTTACAGTACCTTAAGGGTAGATTTTGTCTAAATCTTTAGTCACATGCAGCACACCAAAGGTAGAAGGCAGTGTCCTGTCTCTGGAGGTCTTGAGACAAGTGGTGCTTGATCATTTCTTTGGTCAGAAATAAGCAACTCTGTGGGATCAGTGGTGGAAGAACTGAAAACTGAAGTGGAAAAATGCTCAGTTACAAGAAAAATACCGCATTCCATTTTTAGGAGTAAAATGTACTCATGTGTACAAAATAAACAGTGAAAAAGAATAGACTTTAGTCCCACTGTGTAAAGAGACCTTGAAGCTCCAGTCTGGGAGATTTTCAAGCTTTCAAATCACCTGAAGAGGAACGGAAGGGGAGAAGATAGGTAAGAAAGAAAGAAAGAAAGAAATTACAACTGTTTCATTTGAACAATGATCCATGAAAGTATAAAAGCAATTGCCAGTGATACTTGGACTGCACTAAAGCCACTATGGAAGCCATACGATTAGCTGTTAAACTGCTGTTAATGGCCAGCTTGATCACTTTAAATTGCTGCTACAGAGGCCTAAACACCCTTCCTATTTTCTCTGCTCCATTACGTCCTAAAATAATCTACCTAGTGGACATGTAAAGTGTGAATCTTCAACCGCAAGTGCTACCTTGCTCCCAGACCCCAGATTTCACACACGTTAATTGTCCTCAGGAATGTTCCTGACCTCAGTCTGCAGTTACCTAAAACAAAACCTCTCATACAAGTGCAGCACGGTGGAGACATACGACACCAATATAAGCACAGTGCTGCACACAGTCAGTGTAACCAAATACTGAAATATTGTACAGTGTTACCGTTCCATTCAGGCCTGTCTTTGATTGACTTTTGTAGAGATCAAAGGCAGGAGGAGACAAAAGATAAAAGAAGATAAAAGAAGAGCTGGAGGAAAGACAGCCTGTCACCTCCCCACGTCGCTTCCTGTAGAGAAGCAAACAGGTGTAACAGAGTTAGAAATAACCCTTTAATATGAATTTCTACAAAATTGATATGCTTGGCTTACATACAGTTTAGAGCCACCTGATGGGTTAATAGTGCACAGATAGGGTTCCTCCTGCAAACCATAGGCGCCTCAGCAAAGAATCAGCTACATGCATTTTGACTGTAAGCTCTACCAGCATGTGATCTGAAAGTTACAGACACTTGCAGAAACAGTTAATGTATTCACAAATGAGACTTCTGGTTGCATGTTGAGCTAATGCTGGTTAGCTAGCCAACAACTTGCTAGTTTGCGCTCGGCTGTAATGTTTCTAGTAATTTTTTCAGCTCTGAATGCATGCATAACATACTGTGTTGATGAAAACTGCGTGCTGTTGATTTTTATACTCGGTGGGCTTTGTTGTTGGGTTTCACATATTGTCTTTGCATGAAAACCTCGAATTCCAGCTTCATGATTTATCATGTTTTGTGTGAAGTGAAGACTTTTCCTGGGTTAATAGTGTGTCATATACCACATGTAGCCCATTGCAGAATTTGAGAAGTACATTGCCAAATGTATTGCTAATAGGTTGATACAAGGTTTTGTTTAACAGCAATAACATGGTGCACACTTGTGAATGTAAAAGAAAATATCTCTTATTTCTCTGTAGAAAATTATACATTATATTAGCAGCATAGGATCAAATGTTTGGTTTAAACTTGAATGTATAGAAAAAGACTATAATAGTGCAATGTGAGAATATACAATTTGTATATGTAAGGTAAAAAAAAGGAAAATATTCCTAAGCTGGAGGAATGTTTGCAGTTGCGTAACACTCTGTGTTGATGAAGACTGTTGATTTTTATACCAGCTCCAGAATAAAGAGTGACACTGGCTCTCCAAATAACTGAAATGAATGATAAAACTCAACACAGTACACTTTCAGCACATGCCCTGTGTTTTGTTGTACAGACATTCAGGTATTTACAAACTGGAAAAGTCAGACGACACCACGTCTGCATGGAAATGAATGTCCACAGTGAAGAATCAACAGGGGAGTGTGGCGTTTCAGACAGGATATTTTTAATATCCTGCCAGAAATTCTCCTCATGTTTAGCCACTCCTGCGTCTCACAGGACGACGGGCCTCATCTGAGATGTCCTTGACACACGATGCCTTGTGCCGGATTCTTTCAACTGTGTGTTTAAATGACTCAATTCCCTCTGGTTATTGGTTGAGACATGTTGTTGCCAACAAAAAAAGGTGGTAGAGCTACCTCACCCCATCTGCAGGATCCTAATGTTAGTAGAGTGATGAGGAGGTTGGTGGTGATGATGATGATGTTGTTAAACCAGAGGAAGCTATTTAAAGTGTTTTCATATCAAAGCGAACCCCATTAAATGAGCATTCCAACAGCAGGAATTTGATTTTGAAGCTTGACACACATTAAAGGTAGCCTGTGGAGTTTTCTTGTAAACAAATCAAATCAGTGTTACTCACCAAAACCCACTGTGTATCATTGAGCTCTACCAAAAATGTCGAGTGCGTTTCCATTCTCATTTCTCATTGTAAGCTGATGTTCATAATTTAAATCCTGCCTGGTTTACATCAAAGCTTGCATTGTTTACAGGGACCTACTTGTAAAAACCTTGTGCTCATATCAAAAACTCCATAGGGTACCTTTAAGCTAAACAGACACTGCACAATTTCATTAATCTTGTATGTTTCCTTTTAATCAGCCGTTATGGGTCGTCAAAAACATAGGCCTACATATGGATCAATCAACTGGCACAACCTGGGAAATCCCATAGCAGACCACACCAGAAATCTTTAGTTGATTTAGCACCAGAATGTAGAGCTGTCTGCGCTGTGCATGGAGAAAGGGTCTTGAATGTGAATTTTAATTTAATATTTATTCAAGTAATTATTGTCTGTTCTCTTTGTGGCAGAATTGATTGCAGGAGGCCTCCATGAAGCCACTCAGGGCCACAGAGACGATATCTTTTATCTAGGTTTTGTGTTATCTCTGCTGTCTTCAATACTCAAACAGCCTCTTGTAGGCCTGTTGCTCAATGCAACAGTGCTAAAAATTGCATGGTCTACATGCCTGCATCAGACAGTGATTGTATTCTCACCTTCCCTTGACCTGCTCTTTCTTTACCCCTCACTCATGTTCTTTAGAAACTGGAGGAGTGGACTGGCAGCAGACAGGGCTGTGTGATTCAACTTTTGGTAAGTAAAACTCCTTTGGGAATAGGGAGGAGGCTGCAAAGGTCCAACGAACTTTGGGGGGAGTGACTCAAACAGGGAGGGGGTGGCGGTGGTTTGGGGGTATAAACAGCAAACCAGCACCACAGCCCCCTCCGTTTCAGCAACTTTGTACCCTGCACATCCGTCTCAGTCTCTCTCCCACTCCCTGAGTCCGGCCCTCAGTGGGGGTTTCAGGCTGGAACGCGTCCTCCTCCGGTGCAGTCCGGTCCGCTCAAGTTGTCCCGCTGCCTGCAAAGCGCCGACTCTGCTGCGCAGACATGGCACCTGTCCTCCAAATGTTTGCTGTCATCATCGCATCAGCGCTCCTGCAAACTGCGACATCGGCCCACCTCAATGAGACGTAAGTAGAAGTTATTTTGACAAACTGCCGCATCTCGTGTAGTCTGAGAAAGTTTGCTTGGTGATTGTGCGTCACGCCAGTAGATGCCAAATGCACGCGCCATTGTTTGCGTGAGAAGCTGCATGATGAAGTTCGCAAAAAGTTAAAAATCATGTCGTATTTGTAGAACCAACATCCAGCATCGTCCCACTGGTGAGGCAGAAAGTCCGAGTTAGCCTCAGGATTGTTATGCAATGTGTAGACGGGCGGTCCCACCAGTATGTGTGTTGTGTGTGTGTGTGTGTGTGTGTGTGTGTTTTCGCGTGTGTGTGTCAAAGTTCCTCCATCTGCTACCACTTACAAACATTTGATTAATAATCTGCTCATAGCTGCTGAAAGTATTGGGTCAAAGTGGAACATAGAGGGATGACTGATAAGGGGTTATTTGGTTAATCCAGCTATCAGTTTCAGGAGGGGACTGGTTTTGCCCTGCTGCTTTTAGGCAGTCTGGCCAAACAGATGTCTTGCTTTTTTAAAATCAAAATGTTGGCTCTTAGTTATAAAGACAAAATCTCCCTGTTTCTGCATATTGATTTCTCTTCTGACCCTTGTTTTGCAGGCCCGTGTGACATAGCACTGTGGTCATCCTGACTCAGATGCCTTTCATAGTTTTGTAATAGAGTCAAATGACTTTTTATCATCATGCAACTACCTCTCTGGCGAAAACGGCATCAATATTCTCAGCAGCACCACCCAAAACTCAATTAAATGTGTCCTTTATTTCTCATTGGCAGCAGAATGCCCCTGTGTGCCAACCAGCCTCAGACACAAAATATTCAGCAGAGTGGTTGGTTGAATCCAGATGATAGGGTTGTTTAGGATGTCCTTCCATGTACTTTACTTAGAAAACATGCTGAAATAACACTACATTCCAAATAACCATTGCTGATGTTTTTCAGAGGTAGAAGTAATAATGGTAATGGTACTTTTTACTCAAGTACACCCCCCACGTAAAATACTCCATTAAAAGTAAAAATCCTTTATTCAAAATCATGCTTCAGTAAAAGTACAGAAGTATTATAATCAAAATGTACTTCAATTATCAAAAGTAAAAGTACTTGTTCTGCTACTGATGTTATTTTATAAATGTACCCTTAAGGTAATGAGAAAAAAAGCATTTCCTTCTTAAATGGAGTAAAGTTGTATAAAGCATCAGAAAAAGGAAATAGTCAAGTAAAGTACAAAGGCTATTTACTGAGTTACCACTCCACCACTTTTGCACATCACACCTGTAATAACCATAGACTGTATACAAGAAGTGGATGTAGTCATCGTGACGTCACCCGTTGGTTAGTGGACTTTTGAAGCCTGTTGAGGTTTTGCAACCAGCGGCACCGGACGTGACCATGTTTGGACGAGACGGTGGAGCTAACGGCCATGTGTGGAGCTAGCTAACCTGCTTAGCTAGGTGCATTTGTAATTCAGTCATTTTAACTGGGCTGATAACTTTGTCTAGCGAACAGGCTTAAAACTAAATGTACTCACCAGAGAAAGTGAACAGCCAACTCCTAATAAGCTTTTTCAATGGCGCTGGTTGAATTTACACAGTGCCGTGGGTACGAGTCACTCTAGCCTGATTGACCGGCCATTGTAAGCCGATGTTCATATTTTAAATCCTGCCTGGTTTATGTCAAAGCTTGCATTGTTTACAGGGACCTACTTGTAAAAACCTTGTGCTCATATCAAAAACTCCATAGGGTACCTTTAAGTTAAACAGACACTGCACAATTTCATTAATCTTGTATGTTTCCTTGTAATCAGCCGTTATGGGTCGTCAAAAACATAGGCCTACATATTGATCAATCAACCGGCACAACCTGGGAAATCCCATAGCAGACCACACCAGATGTCTGCGCTGTGCATGGAGAAAGGGTCTTGAATGTGAATTTTAATTTAATATTTATACAAGTCATTATCGTCTGTTCTCTTTGTGGCAGAATTGATTGCAGGAGGCCTCCATGAAGCCACTCAGGGCCACAGAGACTGATATCTTTTATCTAGGTTTTGTGTTATCTCTGCTGTCTTCAATACTCAAACAGCCTCTTGTAGGCCTGTTGCTCAATGCAACAGTGCTAAAAATTGTAATTATTCAACCTTTGCATCAGTTTGCTGACTGGAAGCTTCCCGCATGGTAATAACAGACTTTTCTGGGGCCACTTGGGGGCTACAGAAACCAGCAATAAATACATTATACATATTAACACCCTTTTAAGGCAGTATAGCAAATGCATTAGCTTACATTTACTTTTTAACACATTCAACAGACAAAGCGTAACATTAGCATTCATTGTGTGTTCCTGGCTACTTGATGAAGTCCAATGTTCACTCTTTAGCTCTGTTTTGGTCTCCACCAACTCGAGTGAGAAAAAGTATCTGGCTCGTGTTCACCAGCTTACTGCAGTTAGCCGCTAACTTTGTCTGCCTGCTGTTTAGTGCTGGGCAGGTAGTGTACAGTCCGACCCACAACAAAACGCTGCCTGCTGTGGCAGAAGGAAAAACACCCCACAAAAAACAATGTTTTGAGTGCAGTGAGAAAGTTTTCTTGTAGTTGGACAACATATCCAAGTGGGAAGCCAAACCAAACCAATGAGGTGGTAATTCCTCACTATGACCTACACCTTTCACATTACATCTAGTAATCTGACTAATTGATATGATGATGATAATAATTTAATTTAATAATTTAGCTGAACCTTTTATCCAAAACTACTTAGAATTGATATATATGTCAGAAGTTGCCCACCTCTGGAGCGACTAGGGGTTAAGTGTGGATGTCTCAGGGACACAGTAGTGGATGTGACGGTTGGAATTAAACCCAGGTCTTCCACACCAATGGCATGTGTCTTATCCTTAATTTAATTTAATATGTGCTAATTAACTTCACCTGCTCTGCTGATGATAAAACAGAAACAAAAAGCTTAATAAAAATCCATTCCACTGGGTCCACTGGGCTGCTTTTTACTGTAGCACTTGTATGGTTTTCATGTTTTCTTCTGGTCTGCAGCACATCACATCCTTTTTAAAACTAATGTTGTGTCCTTTCTCTACATGCAGTATTTTTGCTGTGACGGTGAGCTCCCAGGTAAGAGGAGGGAAACAAGAGACCCTGTGTGCCCAGATCCACGGCCCCACGGAGCCCGTCTCTCTGACTATTGCCCTTGAAATGGACTCTGGCAACACCGTCATCCTGGAGGAAGCTGTCAAACAGGACTTTTACCGCTGCTTAAACTTCCAGGTCTGATGTGTACACACAGTTTGGCAATTTGCAGAGTGCCATGTCATATTACATTTAAGATAAATAAAACATTTAGAACCTATTTGCTTTTTTGTATTTGGTTATATTTTCAGTGGCAGCAGGGTAGAGAAGATCTTAAACTTTTAATGTTTGTATTGGTTAAATACATCCGTAAGGTTCCCAGGCACAGTCTACTTTCCTCTCCTCGCCCCCTTGCCCTTCATTAAACTAATGGCACAAATAGAGGCGTCGTTATTTACTTAATTATCCAGCCGGCGCCATGAACAAGGCTGTCAACGCCAATGGTTCTCTGTAAATTACTGCTCTGGTTCCTGTTACACCACTGCTCGCTGTTATGCAACTTACGGGCTTTGCTCCATATTGATGCGAAACGACCTGCCGACCCCAATCAGCTGAGTGACAATAGTACTTAGTTTCACTTCGTTCCCCTGTGTTTGGCCCTGCTGCAGGCCTAGTCTGGCATTTGTCTATCTGCAACTAAACAAAGGCTGCTTTCTGCCACAGGCTAGCTATGTACCTGCATTCCTCTGGAAGACACCCCCTGCCCCCTGCCCACAGTCTCACAACACACACATAAAAAACCCACTCACAACTTTTGGAAGTGGTTCCAGTCCCTGTTATGTAATAGCAGCTCCATTAGCAAGTGAAAACACATGCTACATAAGTATAACGGCATCTTATAGTTAAGCTCGTAGAGTGGAAGAGGCCTGTTGTTGCTCAATTTCAGCAGAGCTCTGATGGATTTGCTTCCAAGCACTAATTTTAAATCATTGAAGTTGACAGATGTTGCACTGCAAACTCCCTTCAAACAAGAAAAATATTCCGTCTAGAAAAGTACTTGTCAACCAGAAACAATTTGTGCTTTTTACTCTAAACTAAAGATTCATTTATCCCATGGTCCTCTCTGACAGATGCATGTTTTCTGGTATTTCAGGTCCCAACAGTGCGCACCAGAACCGTAGCCACCATTAATGTCACTATTCAGGGTGAGAGCGCTTTGCTGAGCAAGAAGTCCAAAATCCTCATTGAGCCTCCTGCTTTCATCCATATCATCCAGACTGATAAACCTATCTACAAACCTGGCCAGACAGGTAAGGTGTTAAATGTTGTGCTATTATTACTCTGACCATGTCCACTAAGAGGACATTTAAAGTGTTAGAGCTTCCTCTTATGTGGTAGAATTGCTGCGCTGCTGCAGTCGAACTGTTCATCCAGCCCACATTATCCTCTCTGCACTGCTTACCAATTCAGCTGCACTTGCACAATTTTGGACTACATTATGATATCTGCATAATGCTGAGCCACAACTTGACAACTTTAGGAATGATGTTCAGCACACAGAAGTTGTGTGCATTAAAATCTAAAAGAAACATCAATCGAATCACTATGAAGAGCTGCTGCACTTCTCAAGAATGGATTTTAAATTCTGTGGATTTAGTGTGGGCTGTTTCTTCTTAATTACAATGTGTCCTTTGGAACCATCTTATTTCCTTATTATTATTATTATTATTATTGTTATTATTGTTCAGCCATCTTGTCGTCTCTGTGTGAAGCAACTGGTATTATTAGGACAGGTATTTCTTAAAGGGGCATTCCACAAATTTGGTGTTGCACTTTCATAAAGTTAGCTGACGTTTAGTCCCTGGTATGGGTCAAGCAATGCAACATTTTTTGTACTCATTGTCCCCAATAACACAGGCTTTCTGTCAATAATTTGAAGTCTCAAGCCACATCAGAGGTGATGTCAATAGGGTAACTCCTTGTAATAAAATTGATTTGAGTGCCCCATTTAAAATTTTAAGTGAAAGGCATACTTGATCATTTTTTCTCAGTTTACTCGTAATGGTTAGCCCTACTCAGCCTGTAAAAACATTTCAATGTCGTCAGTGGCTCTGGACGAGCTTTGTTACTTCTGGGAAAATGACTATTTGGTAGTGATGTCAGTAGGGTTGGCTTGTGCTTGGGGATTATGGAAAGCCTGCGTTTCAAACAGATTTTTACCAGACACGGAGGGTTTCTCAAAAATATGCTATTGAGTTGCATGATGGGAAATGTAGTAGTGGTTGTTTTGTGCCATGCAAGTAATGTATCCCTCCTCATCCCACCTGCTGGCACTCAATGGGAAGTGGGCTGTTTGCCTTACTCATGTTACTGTATTGCTGTCCATGTGTTATTTTTAGAGAATAACTTGACGGTAATTTTTTTGTCTTTCCTTTTCTTTAAAGTCCAGTTCCGAATCGTCTCTATGGATACCAATTTCATCCCTGTAGATCGAGTGGTAAGTTTTATTTCTTTCTTTTCGCTCTTCAAAAAATATGATCTATGATGTGTGTACTAATTCCAACCAGTGAACTTTGTAATCTGGTGTGATTTCTACCAAGCAGTCAGTGAATCTGACGAGCGAGGTCTATTTTGGTTCAGGAGAGTGGGAGGTGAAAGGAGGGCTGTTTGTTGATTTTGAAGACAGCGTGGGTGTGAAGCGCTGTGTGGAGTAGTGTGATAAACATGCTGTCAGAGTTCATTTGGCACACACTGCTTTTGACCCAAACATCTGAATCAATACGGGCTCAAGGCTTTTTCCGTTTGTGTTGAGAGGCTGTAAACACAACTGCTAGCACTGAATGTGAATTTGATTCAAATGTGTCATATGATTAGGGTCGCTTGCTAGAAAGTAGTCAGTCCGCTCCAAAGAAACAATGAAGCTGTAATTTGTTTAAAATCTGTGTTTATTTTTTACCCACACTGTATGCCAGTATCCCACACTATGTAGCTGCTGTTTCTAACACTTCATCCAAGATAAGAGTGAAATATTCAAAACATTTTTATGGCTCCACCTTTACATCAAGTATAAAAATATTCTTGTATATCATTTTATACACACGTTCCCCCCCGAAAAATCAGCCTGAAGTATTTGGTGTCTTCAGAGGCTTTGGGATCTTGATGGTATAGACAAAGTTTGTGGGTCTGGTGTGTTGAAAAAGTGAACCAAATTTTTCTTTCCTTGGATTTTCTAAGGAAGTTGGATTCCTGTAGGCTGGGCTTTTTCTTTGCTCAGCTATGGTGAATATCGCCAACTACACAGCACTTCTGTTTATTTAAAAAAAAAAACTTTATGCACATCACATGATGAATATACAAGATAATGATTTTTCTTCTGTGAACTATAGTTTAAAACCACTACTGTGTTAAGTGTAAAAACATATACTCCTTAATAAACAGGGAGAAGAAAATTGACACGTTTTTATGGGAAAGCTGTACAGCTGTATACTGATTGCATATTGTGTGTAATGTGCAAATTCTATGTGCAGCTCATCATTGTTTACATGATTGTTTTTTTGTTTCTTTTTCAGTACAAAGTGGTGGAGCTCCAGGTAAGATTTACTGAAAGCTGTTGTGTGAGAGACTGGCTCAGGCACCTATGAGACCCTGCACGGCACCTCTCCTGCCAGCTGTTGACTAGTTGCTTAAAATCACAGTGAAACGAGTTATAGCATCTTTAGCTTCTGTAATGTGTTTCTGTGTGAAACAGAATACAGTATGTGGGTGGGGCATGTATCATTTTGGGGGCGAAGGGAGTGATCAAATTGTTTAGAGATTTGATTAGATCACTAGTCACCATAGATCTCTGGAAATATTACAGTGACACACAGCTATAGTAACTGTAACTGGCCTCCACCCACACCTCCCTTAGGAACATTGTTAGATGAAGATCCAAGGCGGAGGGTGAAATGAATAAAATAGGAACCACCCTCTTTGTTTTTTAACAAATACACACTTCCAATGCTATAGCAAGTATATAGTGATCAATTATGGTTAATATAATGATTATCCACAATAACATTTGACTGGATAAATGTATGTATACCCCTAGTATTTATGATGACAAGATGAGTCATGAAAAAGTATTTTATGTTTCAATGAAAATACAAGATGAATGGGACACACGCGCTTGTTTGTCTTACTATCTTCGTGGGGACATGTCTCTCACATAATGCATTGCCTAGCCCCTTACCCTAACCTTAATCATTACAACTACATGCCTAACCATAAACCTTATCTGACTCTAACCTGAACCCTAAAACCAAGTCTTAACCCTCAAACAGCCCTTTAAACTTTTGGGATTCAGCCTTTTGGTCCCCCAAAGCTGGGCGGTCCCCACAAGTATAATAATTCCTGTTTTTTGGACCCCCCGAACCTAGTAAATAAAAAAAACACACACATTTGTTAATATTATTATGCAATATTGTATTATTTGTTTTGCGTTACTTTGAGACCAGCATTTTAAAGTTGCTGTGTTTAGGATTTTATAACTTTGGACTCCTTGTGGTAGTACCAAAAAATACATCAACACCATCCAAGTCCGGGACACCGACCCAATCCCGATGTCCACACTCACAGACTCACAGACTTTGAGGCAGTAAGACTGTGAGGGCTTAGAGCTGTCCCACTGTCAAATCGTCAAGTGTGTGAGGGCTCTCTCGTGGATAATTTGAAACCTTTTTAAACCCTTTTCATAAGTCCGCAATTCTGCAGACTTTGCCTGAGGGAATTGCCCACAGTGCATATTGTGATGTGAAACAGAGCCAGGGGAAGCTCGGAAGCAAGAGAAAAATCACAGCAAATCCGCCTTAAAAGAGAAGAAGAAGAACGGTAAACAAACAAGCATGGAAACCAACGCTGTTAAAATTGTTCTTAACATAGATTTAAGATGGTAAATAGAACACACTAAGTCAGAGAAACGCAATCACCCTATTATACACTTAATTTATTAAACTAACTAAACTAACGCATTTTGTTGTTTTTGGCAAACGATGCTGTTTTGACCAACAATATTGACGAATGTAGATTGACATTTACCTCCCCTTCACTATGTTGATCAAGAGCCTTAAAAGTCAGGCAAAAACGTAAAATAAAGTGGCAAAGTGCTGTCCCATTTCTGTGTCCAGCATTTTGAGCCCTTACAGCCTTTTGCACTCAATCACTTACCAGGTGAAGTCAGTTTAGTCTGTGAGGGTTCTATCTCACACAGGCTCCTCCCTCTCCTGGACTCTATGGGTAGTACCTCTCCTCCTACCACACGCACGTACTCGGCCACTGAAATTTGCATACTGTAAGTAGCCGACCAATTGGACGTCACTACTGTACATGCGCTCCATATAAATAACGGTGTCCTTATTGCTAGGCATCCTTTTTTCTTCAGACAGACGGTGAACCACCCTCTGACCTTTCACCTCCACGGATGGAGTCACTGCTCCTTGAAGCTCACCTTTGCCTGTCTGATCACCGGTTTCGATACTCATCGTTTCTGCTTTGAATGCCTCGGCAGGGACCACACCAGAGACGGCATCTGCCAGCCGCTGCTGTGTGTTGACTGCCCAGCCATTCCTCTCATCCAGCGAAAGCAGCGCTGGGATCCCCTCACCGCTGAGGAGGATGCCCCAGCCCCGAATCATCCACCTCCTCTGGCTCCACGCTCCCTGCCGTCCCTGCCGCCCCCGAACATTGATGATGCAGACAGCCTGTCTTCTGTGTCGGCCACCTCTACCGCGGCCATCTCGGCCATCTCGGCCATCTCGGCCATCTCTAAAGAGCAAATAAATTCCTCTTCAGTCTGTCAGGACTTCCCTGCGGTTATGGCTATAGCGGCGGGGCTAGCACTGCACCCCTCCCATCCCGCCTAAGCCGGTGAGTCGGCTCCGGGAGAGGTTCTACGGACCGACTCACCGCGCTCAGGCACATGGACCCCATTCGATGATTCGATAAAAAAACAAACTGCTGTTTTTTGTGCTTAAATACTCAATACATCAATTTATTCCTTGCTTCTTGAAATTCTGTTGCTTATGCTGATCACCTGCAGCAGATAGACACTTGCTCCGAACTCCGCATTCAATGAATGTCCCTCTGTCTTTATGTAGGAACCCAATTCAAATCGCATTGCCCAGTGGTTGGATAAGCCCATTGTTAGCAGCATCCTTGATCTTTCACACCCTATGATTCCTGAGGCTGCACAAGGAACCTACACGATCACAGCCACGACGGACAAAGGAGAGCAAATATCCCACACTTTTGAAATCAAGGAATATGGTATGCTGCAGTTACATGCTAAAATAAATAGAATAATATCCCACATTACCTCAAATACTAATGTTGTTTTTCAGCTGTAAGATTATTCGTTCTTTTCCTTTTACTTTAGTTTTGCCAAAGTATGAGGTAAAGGTTCATCTACCAAGTGTGATAACCATCCTGGACCAAGAGGCAACTGTACAGATTTGTGGAAAGTGAGTGTCCCACAGGACAGACTTAGGTTAACAATGGCACTGAAGTTTTAGATGGAGCAATTTACGTAACCAACATAAGTAACCAATTCAAACTGAAATAAGTCAAACTGAAAACGTAATCCTTATTCCTTTTGTGTAAGAAAATATAAACTTTACAGTTTATACTTATAAATATAAACTTTACAGTTTATATTTTCAGTAGTTTTTTGCAGATATTGTGTATAGTAAAATTTTTTTCAAAGAGGATAAAACTTTTTTAGAGAGGTGTGTGTGTGCTAACGCAATCCACATTACTATCCTGTGTACCACCGTTATTATGTTAAAGTGTTGATTTAGTCTGCAAGAAAGGATGCAATGCTACAAAGCAAATGTGGAGAGATTTGTTTACACTAGCCTTGATGCAAAGCAGGAGCAGCTAGCACCATTAGCACGGATCTACCACTGTTTGCTTCGTAACGTTCAATTTAGATTTACTGACGTTTTAACGATACTCTCCACAGTGGAAGACCCATTCACTACAGTAAAGTTACTTACTGCAGTTTAACTGTTATGAAGTGTGACAACAACCTCATAATATTCAGTCCAGCTCACTAATTGTTTTAATTATCAATTTAGCTTTGTTGACATTGCTGAGCCTCCGGTGAAAAATACATAAATAGTGTAAATATTAATTTCTAAGCAAATTTTTTTTTTATTTTCAGTTTGACTTAAACAGTTATGCAGTTAGTGTCATCAACATCTGACATGATGGATATAGTGCTGATATAGTGATGCAGTTGCTGTCTATGGGAAGAACATAAATGTCCACTAAATACTAAAATCAGGATCCTTTAAAAAAGCATCTCTGTATTCTTGTGCTTTATCCTCCAGATACACCTATGGGAAACCAGTTGTTGGTTCAGTGAAGGCAGTGTTTTGTAGAAAGGCCATCCGCTTTTACTGGTATATAAGTATCCAAGAAAGTGACATCTGCAAGACATATGAACTGACAGTGAGTATTCCAGACAATTAAAATGTGACAGTTCTCCTCCACTAATTCCATTTTTTTTTTCATTTTAAATTGACTTTTGTTATTACTTTCTAGACAGATAAAAGTGGTTGTGCCACACAAACTGTGAACATGACAGAGTTTTCCCTCAGCAAGACCGTGTACGATGACAGCTTTGAGGTGAATGCTGAAATGGAGGAATACGGCACAGGTAGGTTGACTGACTGCCGGATACTGTTTATAATCCCCACTGTTTATTAACGAGCTGTGATCTGTTTGATGTTTCCATGTAGGGGTCATTCTGAAAGGCAGTGGGCGGACAAGCTTTAGCATTCACATTAGAACTGTCACCTTTGAGGATGTACCTGCAGTGTACAAGCCTGGCATCCCCTTCGAAGGAAAGGTAAACACCCTCATGACAATTGGTAGCTAAAGCGAAGATGCGTATTTATTTTTATTTATGCTAGTGGTGTGTCTCTAGGGGTGACGATGTCAATTCACCATTTTGGTCCAGATTGAAATAATGTATATCTCAACAAATGCTTGATGGATTCCTTTAAAATTTAGTGCTGAGGTCGCCAGAGGTTGATTTTTAATGATTCTAAATGTCCTTTTATTTTAGTGCCACCACCTGGCCATAATTCTCTAGTAGTACACGTGAAAGATGATTATCTAATGGGCAGATAACAGAAGACTGATCACGTTTTTAGTAACCAGAGGACGAACCCTTTATCATCTTTGCACATAAGATATCTCATACTGTAAAAGGCATATTAGCATTAATATTATTCAACACATTCATGCTTCTAGAGGGAATAAATCCTTTAGCCTTAAACCTTTAAATGACCCGCACCATAAAGGAGTGGCAAAATCATTAGTATTTTGGGGAATGATGAATTTTTTTTGTCTAGACACATCTTGAAAGTCTGCTGTGGGTTAGCCTCTGCTTTCTGAATTGTTTGCAGGTGAAAATGGTCGGTCCAGATAGCAAACCTGTCGCCAGTGAGGCTGTGTATCTGTTTGTCGGTGACACACAAAACATTACGCTCACTACAGACATGAACGGCATGGCTTCCTTTTCTTTGGACACCACCCTCTGGAAAGACACTGTGAATCTAAAGGTTGGTTATTGCTTGTCACAGTCCCCCCACTCCCACCCCAGAACAATCAATTCAGTTTCAAGGGCTTCCTATTAGTAACCAGTTCAGTATTTATCAATTATTTATCAATATCTAATTAAGGAAACTTTCCATCATATCGATCACGTCAGAGGTGAACAACACATTCTTCTTAAATGCCTTTATTTTTGTGAATTGGCTTAACATTGGTTCATAGTTAAGAAGATGTCGATAAGTGAAGGTTGAGTGAAAATTTGACTTGTTGTGTCAACAGGCGACGTCTAGAAAGACTGCAGCGAGCGAGCCATATGTGCATAATGTGCGGAGAGCGGAGCACAGGGCGGCCTACCACCACGTCGCTGAATTTTACTCCAAGAGCAGTAGTTTTTTGAAGCTCATGCACGTCAGCGGGAAGATCTCCTGTGACAAAGATGCAACTGTGCGCGCTCAGTACATCATCCAGGGGGAGGAGATAAAGAAGGGACAGGAAGTCCTTGACTTCTTTTACCTGGTAAGACTCTTGTCATGGGTTATGAGCTACTGTACACAGTATGTGACCACGAGCCCAGTGGTTCAGCACTTATCCTGACACTGTCACTACAACTGTAGTGAGACAATGGGGCAATATCCCGCAGATTATTTACATTTGTAGAAATATACATCTGGTGTTCAAAGTATGCTTTATTTGAACTAACTGTGTTTCAAATTAACTTAGATAACACACCTTGCCTACATTATGTTTTTAATTAGTAAGTAAACCTAGTCTATTTACTCAGTCACTGAAAAGGCTTTTTCCACAGGAGGTGGATCTAATTGTGTATAGTGTACACAGTGTATAAAAATGGATTCCAGTATTCCTCAGCGAATTGTGTGAAAAACACACATGAAATGTCTCTGCCTGTGTTATGCTTTTTCATAGGTGATGTCTAGGGGAGGAATTGTGCAGCATGGACGTGTCCCAGTTGAGGTTGAAGCAGGAACTGGTAAAAACTGGTTACTTTAACAAACCCTTTAACATTCAAGAAGTCATGCCAAAGACGGTATATTACTGGACAAAGCCACCCCGCAGATTTGAATGGAAAGCAGTGAAGGCAGTTATGGACCAACAAAATAGTACTACAGGGCTACTTCCTGTTGGCACCAGTGACATTGCATGATCGCGCAGCATAAGCGTGGTTTAATCACATAGAGCAACGGCAGAAACACCGTAATTCTGGTAGCTGCATAACTGCACTGTGCTGCACAACAAAAAGGCTCTTGGCTCAGTGTGTTTGTCCGACTTGGATCGTGACTGTTTAATCAGCCCACCTACAAGGCTCACCTGCCAAACAACGTAGCAACACTGATGGCTGAGTAGTTTTTTTTTTTAGATTCAGAGAGTTTATAATGGGACAGGATGTCTCAGGGTTTTGGCATCATATTTGGGCCTACATGGAACCTCCATACAGGCTTTGGTCGGCTTCACTGTTCGACCTCTTGCTTACCCCCTAGAGTCATGTGATCCAGTGTCTCCACATTAAAAAAAAGGGTCAGAAATATGCAGTTGTATTGTTTGTTTTTAGCTGTGGATATTGTGTAGTAGTACATTTTACAGTACAGAGCACTGTATGCGAGATTGACAGACAACATAAACAATAGCCGCGTTCATGGTAATAAAGGTACAAGTCAAACAGTGTTAACCATGTAGGTCACTGTTTTGTTTTTTAGTTTTTTAAAAAACATTGGAGTAAAAGGGGAGAGGACTAAGATATATAAATTTTCATAAGACTTATCTTTTTAAGATGGCCGTCTTAGTTATAGAGAATAATACCTGAGGGAATTTTAACTCGTCACTGCATTTCACTTTAGTTCTGCGGGGCATTTCAGGGTCCTGGGGGTAAAAAGCCACAGTCAGGCTGGGAATGATGGAAATGATTGAGAGATTGACAAATACTTGGTTGGTTTTAGTCTTATTTTAGGATTTGGTGACAATTACTAAAACATAGAATTTGCCCTCCTTTATCCTTTTAACTTCATGGTGTCAACTGCTTGAGGGTACATACCACATAACCTCAACATTAAGAACCAGCCAAGGACCCACCTTTCTTTCCCCGCATTTCCTGTTACTCTCCATATCATTTATCAAATAAAAGGCAAAAACACTCATTTGCTAGGCTTTAGGCAAACCTACGTAGCTTAGTTTCACGCTAACCTAGCAGATTATTATTTGTCCATGTGCAAAAAAGATATCTGTTTAAACAATATACAGATATCTGATTTGATATTAGCAAAGTAAGAAGGTATATTTTTTGTTTTATGTATTTTGACAGTCACATTTCCTTGTCTTTCTGTGTTTCATGGCTCAGTCAACAAAGGCGAGTTGTCTGTATCACTCCGTCAGGTTACAAACCTGGCACCATTTGCCCAAGTGGTAGTTTACACTGTGATGCCCAGTGGGGAGACTGTGGCCGATAGCCAGGACTTCCCCATTCAGCTCTGCCTCAACAACAAGGTACCACCTGAGGGACCCATTAGGCCTTTTTGTTACATAAAGCTACATTAGATGATTCCAAGACTTGACATCCAGTCAAATATGAAAACACATTCATTTTAGGTTATTGTGACCTGACCTCTTCTAATCAGCTCTCAAATTAATGACTCTCCACCTTGGTGTCTCCTGTGCAGGTGTCTCTGAAGTTCTCCTCTCTCCAGGAGCTTCCAGCAGAGAAGACCACGCTCAGTCTCCAGGCTCACCCAGGCTCCATGTGTTCTGTCAGAGCCATAGACCAGAGCGTCCTCCTGCTGCAGCAAGAGCAGGAACTCAATATCGACTATGTACGACACCGATCCTCAGTGCTAGTTTGACCCATGTTACCATTGGTACCTTTACCAATGCCTTGATTTCAGACATGAGAAAAGTGGAAATAGTACTCATTTATTTATTTACAAAATATAGTGTAGACTAGCACATTTATTTGTATTAAAAACATGATTATGTAGACCTTCATCATATGGGTGATGGGCTGGCCTGTACCTGCTGCCCATGACTTGTATCAGGTTCATGTACGTGTGTGTGTGTGTGTGTTTTTGCACAGGTGTTTGGCCAGCTCCCTTTACAGAAGCTCTCGGGATACTCCTATGAGGTTGAAGACTTTGAACCATATCCCTGCTTCCCTGTTCCAGTGCCAGTGCCAGAGCCAGAACCGGAAATAGAACCAGAACCAGAGCCAGAAGTCCAACCAGATCCGGAGCTTGGGGTCAACGCTGGTCGTGCAAAGCGATCAATCTACTATAGGCCCAATCAGAAGAATGATGTCTACAGCATATTTAAAGTAGAAAATTTTGATTGCCTATCAAAGAACAGGCTGCAAGTGATGATGTTGACACTGATGAGTAGTCAGTTGTATATTTATATGAAAATAAATTTAGAATATGATGAAAAAAAAATGTATGGGTCAATTTACACTATATTGCCAAAAGTCTGCTTCTAAAAACACAATGAAATGGAATGGAAAGAATTCACTAAGCTCTCAGGAGCTCAGTGCGCTTCTACAAGAATGGTCCAAAAATTCCCATGAACACACTCCTAAACCTCAGGACAGCCTTCCCAGAAGAGCTGAAGCTGTTATAGCTGCAAAGGGTGGGCCAACTCCATATTAAACCCTACGGAGTAAGAATTGGATGTCATTAACCTTCATGTGCGTGTAAAGGCAGGCGATCCAAAACTTTTGGCAATATAGTATATGTCTATATCTCAATCTTTATATTCATCTATCGACAGCGATAGATATATTATCCCTATTGCGATCCCTGTATGTCTCTTTATTTCTATCTCTCTGTCTATATCTATTTGAGTAATTTGATTGTCATTTCAAACTTTACTGGAGGTTTATAGTTGTGGTCTGTTTCATTCTGTGTGTTTATATCAGCAGTGACCAAAACGTCTACAGTATATGACTTTAGAATCTCTTTCTTTCTCCCTCTCTCCTCTTCTAGGAAATTGGAATAAAAATTGTGACCAACTCCGATGTGAAAAAACCTTACAAATGCCATGAAAGGAACCATGACTTATATTACTATGATGGTATGTTTTATGTTAGTCACTGGTTTTGTCCAATGACTCCCCTGCCCATTGAAATTGACCCTAGAACAGTAAAATACCATTATACTGTAAACAACAGAAAATGTGATGGTGCATGCAGAAGATGTCGCATACAGCTATGCGGCCTTTGAAGATCAAATGCCCGACTCTCCACCTGATGAAGATCAAGCTGGAATGACCAAGGAGACCATTAGAACATACTTCCCTGAGACCTGGATCTGGGAGCTGGTTTCTGTTGGGTAAGTTTAGTTGTGTAATTGGATTATTTTTATCTATGTGTTCCTAGATCTTTTAGACTCTCCAGTTCCCATGGCCTTCAACATGATGCCACAGAGTTCAGGTGGTGCGCTGAGAGGTAAAGAGGAGGAGAAGAAGGAGACCTTGAGGACATTCTTCCCTGAAACCTGGATCTGGGACCTAGTTACTGTGGGGTAATAAAATATATCCTATGAAAAGGATCAGCACTTCATACATTATTTCTATTTGCTGACATTTAGCATTTTGAACACTGACATAGTATGTGTTGGCAAGAATGTTGAGTTTGTTATGTCGTTCAAGACATGTTTTTCACTTTTTCATACTACAACTTTTTTTTATTGATTATGTCAGAAAATAGTTGTGGAAAAAAACATTCCAAAGGCCCAAAGATATTCAATTTACAATGATATTAAACAGCAACTATTCATATTTTGAGAAGCTGCATTGTTTGATACAAAACTTAAAGGTGCAATGTGTAAGATTTGGCCAGAAGTTAAGTTAAAAATATTTAAAAAATGAACATAAACAGCTGTGACGTCATGTCAAAAACGTCTATGTACTGTGTTGCAGAGATACAGATCTACTGAATATTAGTATGCTAATCAGCTAGCCCCGGTCTGTCTTGTTTTTCTGTGTTGTTGTTTCAGCTGGGACTTGTGTGTGCCAGTGGCAAGTTCGCTACATTACACAAGCTCTCAAAGCTTTATAGAGTATACCTTCTGAATTAAGATTTCCCTCTTTCACCGAACTAATTGCCTTGTTAACTGAAAAACACTCAAACAAACAACAAAACAAAATAAACAAACCAAAACCACCTTTGTTAGTGTTTCCCCTGTTCCAACAATCACCAACTCTGGTTTAACCCCTAACTTAACAGCAGTTATGATATGATATGTGATATGCTGCCCCCCTATATTTTTGGAGTATGAATTCGACAGGTGGCAAGAAGTCTCAGTTCTTACACATTGTACCATAAAGGCCCTGAAAACCTGTTTTTTAAAAGCATTTTTCTGCAAAATTAAATAGTCATGACCAAAGAAGCAACAATTTAAAGAAAAGACATTCCTATTATTTATTAAGCTTTTAACACACAAAAAAAAACTTAATAAAATAACTCATCGAGACTGTTCGGTTATGGTTTGAACATATTTGATTGACAGTGGCCCAACAATTGTCATCAGATACTCGTTCAAGTTTTATTTTAAGAAGGCATATTCAATCTGTCAGTTGGATGAGACTATTGGATGGACTGCCATGAACTTTTGTACCAGACGTCCATGATATCCATGAACTTTCCTTTAGCGCCACATTTGTGGTTTTGACTAAATGTCTCGACGACTACTGTATGTTTTGACATGTCATGCACACATTTCCCCCCCCCCACCCTCATTATAATTTGTAATAACCTTGGTTAGCTAGCAAGCTAACACGCCGAACAATGATTGTGAATATGGTAAATATTATACCTGTTTCACAGCAAGTTAGCGTTGGCATTGTGAGCATGTTAGCATGCTAATGGTAGCATTTCCATCAGTACAACCTCTCAGAGCTGCTAGAGTGGCTGTAGATTCTTACTCTTGTTAGTTGTATTTGGGTGCCCGGGTGGTGCAGGAGTTCCTGTCCACCCCAAAAGACACCGTTCTTAATTCCTGGTAGCGGTATCTCCTGCTTGGTTGTGCATTCTGACCAACATAATTAACAATGTCCACTTGTAATCCATTACAGTTAAATTTACTGAGCAGTTGAACTCCCTAGAGGATGGAGCTTTCTTCTTTTGCCCCCCTACCCCAAGCCAGAAACACAAGATATCTCATCATGTATTAACAAAGATTGTCATAATATTTTCTGTTTCATGTTTTTACTCATAAACTTTAAGGCAAACTCAGTGCTACTTGAACTCATTCATTTGACTTGTGCTTGTACGTTTGTACAGAGACAATGGGTCAGTGAATGTGGAAAAGACGGTCCCTGATACCATCACTAAGTGGGCTGCTGGAGCTTTCTGCGTCTCCCCTGTGGGCTTTGGCGTGTCCCCCAGCACTGGACTGACTGCCTTCCAGCCGTTCTTTGTCAGTCTCACCTTGCCCTATTCTGTCATCCGAGGGGAGGTGTTTACTCTCAAAGCCACCGTCTTCAACTATCTCTCCAAATGCATTATGGTAAATATTAAAGGGAATTTATTTAAATGAATTCACAAGAATGATGATGTATGATTGATATGATTGGATGTCGGTTTGTCAATGAAATGATAGGAAACAGTTATAATTAAAATGTTGACTTACCTCTTTCTTTGCATATGTAAATGTTTCATATATTTCTATTTCTGACACTGAGTATTTCTATGTTTTGTCTTTGTTTCTGTCTACAGGTTAAGATTACACTGGCTGATTCAGACCAATACGCTGCCAGAAAATGTGATGGCTGCCAGTACAGTGTGTGTCTGTGCGGGGAGGAGAGCAGGACCTTCTCATGGATTGTAACGCCAACTGCCCTAGGTATTAATAGATAGCTGACCAGATATGTTGTCTCAATTCCACTAATTTAGAAATAAATATAAATTTTTTAGTTTGAAGTGACGTTTTCGCTGAATAGTTATGCAGCTGTGAGTGCAGATCAATCTGAAAGTGTTACAGTACACTTACTTCACCATAATTCAGAGGAAAATATTAGACTTTTTACCCAACAGTGTACGTTATTAAATACTTTTGAATGCAGGACATTTCTTATAATGGAGGACTGGACCACCCAACAACCAAGGCAGAACAAATCCTAAAATTAGTTATTTCAGTAGGAGAGGCTTTATCTGGATCTGTGAATGCCAAATAAATCTTATCTTCTCCCCTCCAGTGCTGTTGCTATATTGAGGAGACTGGGATTGTGGATGTTGACATGTTATAGATTAATTTAATAATAGAGCAATTACGGGGAGAACATCTCATCGCTGTTTTTTTAATGCAAAAATATTACAAAACATATGATAGAACATTTGAAGGAATCGCACATGGAAAAATATCTACAATTTAATCGCATCATTTTGTACAGATTTTTTCAGTCTCTCAAAGTTATGATGGGATGGAGGGGCTCCTTGGACCTCTGACCTCTGTATTTGTAAAATCCTGGCTCCAGCCCTTTACAATCTAATTAACTTTTCCCTCAGCTGTGGCCTAAATTTGAAGTTTTCTTTGTAACATTATTTATTTAAGGAATTTAATGCTTTATATCCAAATATGATTCATCCTGATTGGTCCTAATGAGCTCCGCCCACAAAAACACACAATGAAATCTCTTATGTGAAATAACCAAAACTGTTTGGCAACAATTTGGCGAAAAGAAGTTCGTTCATTTAGGACCTCATCCCTCCTAGTATAAAGCTGATTGAGAAATATGTTTTCAAGGAGAAAACAAAAGCAAACATATAAATACTGATAACATAATAAAGATAATAACCTAGCTGACAACAATGAAAGCAGATATGATCATCACAGGGAAGGGGAGCAAATGGGATAACTGAAAGGTATGAAATTAAATTTGTGAATGTGTATGAAACACGCATTCACTAATCTAAAACACTATGGCAGTGGTCGGCAATAGGCGGCCCGCAGGCCAGATTGATTTGATAGCAAAAAAGTAAATAAATTGATAGCGGCTGATGCTGAAATAGATTTGTCATGACAGCAACAGTTACTCACATAATTACTTCCTCTTAAGTGATTGTGCCTCCAAAATAAAAGCGCAAGAACAGTTTTTGCAGCAATGCTTTATATTGAGTTTATTGAGAGCTTTTACATTCGAAAGAGTCTCTGGCTTACTTAACACACCTCTTTAAAAGCCGTCAGTAAAGGTGTGATTGGATTACCAAGAATTTCCACAGGGAAATGAAAATAAGTGTCCATAGGTTTATGAATGCGGATCCAACGCTGGGACACACACAGTGCAGCACATGCTTTATTGAAAGTGTCCTTATAGGCTGATCAAGGGAGAAAAATAAGTCCTATATATATATTCTATATAAAAAATGTCTAATTGTGACATTATATCCATGCAAAATATAACTCATATCATTGCCCTTCAAAACTGTATTAAACAACATTTCACTGTCAAGAAGAGAACAGCTCTCCTCTTACTGCCTGTTATCACTGTCACTAATAATATAATGCAATCTTCACATCTTTATAATGAAATGTTGTTTGTCACTAAAAGTGTAAGTTGTATATTGGACGGAACAAAGATGAGACAGAACAAGCTAATTAATCTGTATTAAGGGCACTGACAGCTGCTGCGTCTGCACTGCTGGAAGCAAAGACAGGGGGCTGTTGTTGTAACGCTGCCTGGCCTGAAAGCAGACGATTTCTATCAGCCTCCATCAGCAGGGATGGAGACGAGGCTCTGATGAATGTCAAATTGCATTCCTCTAACTCCCCCTTAGAGGAATGCTGACAATCACTTGTACTAACAAGTCAGGTAGTATCTCTGACGAAACACTCAGAAACCTCTCCCTCGGGGGGTGATCTGTACTTGTCCTCTGTGTGAAGGATTGTGGGCTATGAGGGAAGGGAGGGGGTGGGAGATAGAGCAGTATGGGTGAGAGGCAGGATAATAAGGCAACAAATGGGGATTAATGAGGGCAAATAAGATAGGAAACTGGGGGAGGAAGGAAAACACAGAGAGGAGGGATGGAGGAACAGGGAGGATAATTAGTTGGATTGGAAAACAGACAGGAAGCCAGTTTTGCCTCCATACACAAAATGTGACAGTGTGACAACGAGCGGTAATCAATACAGCCCTGCCTTCGGAATAAGACTGTGTATGTGTACACACAGGTCAGGTGAATCTGAAGGTCAGCGCAGAGGCCCTGAAGACTGACATTCTGTGTGGCAACGAGGTGGCCACTGTCCCCAGCACGGGCCAAATCGACACGGTGGTCCGCAACCTGCTGGTGGAGGTCAGTGACCGTCAGAACATCGGAGCAGCTTCTCGCAAAACACGACAAAAGATCGTAGTGTGAAATGGTTTGACACCCATCTTGGCGTGTGTGTCCAGATCCAGAACATGAAGTGTACAAAATGTTAGAACCAGCTTTTAAATTAAGGAGATGCTCCTTTTGGTGAACCAACTTCTTGGTCAGTGTGCAGGCATTGTTTTCCCAATTTCATGTACTTTGAATTTATATATTAAACAACATGAATATATCACTATATGTTATAATGAGTTGACTGACCTGGTTTCGCCACGTCTTTTTAAAGAATAAGGCTGGCAGTGTTCTATATACCCCGTTTGTGGCACATGGCCCATTTGTTCCTACTGAAAACATAAATATAAAACTGGCAGCATGTAGTTTTATTGTTTAAAAAGAATCAGTTTTTAGCAAACGTTACTTGAAACAGGAGGAAATAATGCATTTGTTGGGAACAATTTTCAGCTGCATTAATCTACATTTGGTCATTTAGAGAGGATTTGGGGCAGCAGGACGCATGTGGGATTAAATCAAAACAAAATGTGTGTGTGTGTGTTCATAGATACACACAAGGACTTGTTCTGTTGCCTTTTACTGAAATCAATATAGTTCAATAATACCATTCTCTTTGTCTGTCTCCTCAAGGCTGAAGGAACACCACAGATGGTCAGTCACAACGCTCTCCTCTGTCCCGCAGGTGAGCGTTCACAATTGGCCTGTGTATCAGCGCCAGGTATCTGATCGCCTCAGGGTTAACGGCCATCTTGATCCGCTCATTCAGAGCAGAGTAAAAACTGGAACAAATGATATGTTGTCTTTAGCTCTCATTCTCTCATGGACACCTGTGTCAGGGTCTGAGGCTGAAGTTTTCACATTGTTGGGTGCGAGGGATAATTCATTCTTACTGGCCGCTCAGATATATTAAGATACATTTGTTTGTCAGATCAGAGATACTGTAAGTAATGTATGTTATGAAATGTTTGATAATTCTCTAGAAACAAAAGGTTAAAAACCGCTGTAATTTGGTTGCTACATGAATACACTGGCTCATTAGGAAAAAAAGGTCACTTTTTCAGCTTTCACTGTTGCTTAACTTAGCATAAAGACTGGAAACGGAGGGAAACAGCTGGCCAGGTTGTGTCAAAAGATAGCTCCTACCAACACCTCTAAATTCACCAATTAACATGTTATATTTTGTTTATTATATTTCTGTAATAAAACCATTGAGTGAAAAAATGGTAGGTTGTGGTTTTAGGGGTTACTGTATGTGCTAAGCTAACCAGCTGCTAGCTGTAGTGTCATATTTCCCGTACAGGCATGAGGGAGGTAATGATCTTATCTAAATCGCGGCAGGAAAGTGAATAAGTGTATTTCCCAAAATGTCAAACTGTTACCAAACTCCCTCGTGTATCATTTATGTGTCATCTTTTTTGCTCTCTGTGTTGCCAGAGGGGCCTGTGGAGAAGAAAATCTCCCTTCTGATACCTGAGATGTTTGTGGCTGGATCAGCCAGGGCTTCTGTCTCTGTACTGGGTTAGTGACGCTTAAATTCCCCTTTCATTTTTTTTACTCCAGCTATCAGGACCTTAGCATGTGCATCTGGTGGATGATCAGCTAAAACTGTCTACTGTACCAGCCTGCTAAAAAATAAAATCTTGGCAGCGTATAATGTAATCTCTTATCTTTTTCTTTTTGCTTCTGCAGGTGACCTGATGGGCCGAGCCATGAAGAACCTGGACAAGCTCCTGGCCATGCCATACGGCTGCGGGGAACAGAACATGGTGCTGTTCGCTCCCAACATCTTCATCCTCAACTACCTGAAAAGCACAGGTCAGCTGACTGAGAAGATTCAGGACAAGGCAACACGCTTCCTGGAGAGCGGTGAGTTGGTCTGTCCCCTCTGCGATTAACAATGAATGGGATAAAGAAATATCCCATTTAAATGAACCGTCATCAGCTTCAAAAATGCAGCCCACTCGCCGCTGTAAGAATGCTTTCTCTCTTTACAGACTCTGAGTTTTGGAGTTTGAGTGATTATTCCAGTCTGCAGATTACCTTTGGTTGAAAATACCCATCAGTTCCCTTCCAGAAAATAATGCCTTTGTATTGTCAGTTATCAGGTTTAAACCAGTTTAAAACCAGTTTAGAGCTAAAGAGACCATGACTGTTGTATTTAAATGAAAGTGGGGGCTGGCTCGTTCAGACAGGTTCATCTGGCAACAAAAGGGAACCTGGCTCAAGGTGCTGTAATGGCCAACAAAATACATGCAAGTTTGCATTCCTGGTAGGTTGTAACATGAACGCTATATTTCAACTGTTTACCTCAGGAGCACCGTGATGAAAGATAAAATGATTGTCGCAGTGATAACGTTCCAAAGTTGTGAATACTTAAATAAATTGGCGTATAGTGTTTTGACATCTGATGAGCCTTCAGTCTCACGGATCTGTTATTTTAACCAGCCTTCCAGGAATGTGTTTTGTCATCTCATCGGTATCTGAAACAACAGGCACTCTCCTTTTATATTGTTTTAAGGCAGGACTGTGTCCTGTCTGCCTGCAATGGGGGCTTGTTTGATGGTTTTGTTCATATATATGTGTGTGTGTGTGTTGCAGGATATCAGAGGGAGCTTACATACAAGCATGACGACGGCTCCTACAGTGCCTTTGGAAAGAATGATGAGTCTGGAAACACCTGGTCAGTAAACTTGCCTCAGTAACGAAGCTGTTTAGGATACAAACACTAGATTAGTGACAATTGTGTAATAGCCACTTACATTTTCTGTGAACACATGGAAACTGGTTACAAGTTTGATTCTATTAAAAAACACTTAGTGAGTCAGTTGTAATTTAAACCAGTTTAATACTTCAGCATGTATAAGAACATCTTGATTCCCATATTGTCATTTTTTTGGAGCACATACAGTATTAAAACACATTAACAGTATTTATTTTTATTTAATTAAAAGTATTTATAGAAGTATTGTTTTAAAATAATATTGTATTTATAACTAGTATAATTATTTTATATTTAACATATGAAATTATTTATAATGTATTTTGGTTTCATAAAACCCAAAATACTAGTACAATGTAGAAATATACATATTGTGTAAACTGAGGAGGTACCAGAAATCTTAACCACTTGTGTTTACTTACACACGTCACGAAAACTTGATGGTGTGCAACATAAGTACAAAAAGAATATGAATATGTTCATGATTATATAACTATAATGTTTTAAAATGTTCTATGATGCAACTGCAATATATCATAACAGCTTCGCTTTGCTCAAATCTCTTACTTCAATTGATGAGAGAATAAAAATGACATGCGGACACAGTGGGAGGTGTTTGGCACCAGCAAGCATCCTAATAATTTACTTTAATGGGGAACCGGGCAGGAAAAAAATATTTGCATTTAATGGGCTTAAAGCACAGTGCCTCGGGGGATTTAGCAAACCCTTTGCTGTTTGAAAGGGTGCTGGGCAGTTTGGCAGTTGGTGAGAGTGTGTGGGCGTGTGTGTTTGTGGTTAGGAAAAACTAGGGCTCTCAAGTGTTCAGTTACATTAAAATTCCAACAGGAGATTGGTTTGAAATCACTTAAAATACCAGGACTTTGGAACAAGGGCTTTCAATAAAGTGTGAGAAAATGTGTTTATTTTAATTTAAAGCTGCACTAGCTGCTGATTATTGAGCTAAATCCACATAGATTTCAGCGGCTTGAAGAGCTTCATAGCCTCTTTTACGTCTTTGTGTTGGTTTCCAGGTGCACAAACTCTGCTCTCATCAACCCCATTTCCAGACGTAGGAGGCAGGCGTTTTCTACAGTGCTCTGATAAACCCAGTGTACACTACCTGCTCAGTACCGACAGCAGACAGGCAAAGTTAGAGGCTAGCTAGTGAACAAAAGGGAGCATTTAGCAGCTGAAAAGCCAGAGATGCTCCCAAGTCAAGTCTCAAGTCTCTGAGCTAGAGTCCAAGTCAAGTGTAAAGTCTCCCGTGGTTATAATGAATGTTGTATCACCTGCTGCGTTCAAACCACTATCACTATCTTTATCAGGCAGCTGTTTTCAGTGGAAAAATCTCCCACTCTACGCTACCTGCCCATCACAAAAATAGAAGACAGACAAAGTTGGCGGCTAGCTGGTGAACATTGTGGAGCATTTAGCGGCTAAAGAGCCAGATGGAGTTGGTGGAGACCTAAAACAGAGATAAAAGGAGAATGAATATTGGACTTTATTCGTCACGTAGCCAGAAACATGACTCGAGATGTTTGCTAATGTTGCTGTCTGTCTGCTGGATGTGTAAATAGGCAATTGTTTGCTAACGTTGAACTAAGGTAATATCTAAGTGTTTACCGCTTGTTCTGCTGCCCCAAAATTGCCAAAAAATGGATGCAGCTTTAATTTTTTTTCTGCATCTTAAAGTATAAATGACATGTTTGGCATGGTTGACTGCATCCACACTGATTATAATGCAATACAGTGTGTGTAGTGTGTGTGTACTGGGGAAACCCAGAAGCAACATGTCTGAATTATGAGAATGTGTGAATAAATCATCCAAATTTAATCGATGTAGTTATTTTACTTCCCAGAAGACTTTTCCTGCCTCTTTATCAGCTCCAGCTGTCTGCATTGTGCTGGGCTCGTGTGCGGCTCAGAGGAATATGATTCTTTCCCTTTTGTTGTAGAAGCAGCTCAGACCAAGTGCTCTGCGTTGAAGTGAGACAGCAGGTTGTTATGTAATCGTGCTGAGACTGGGTTCAGTTTGGGGTTACCACCACAGGCACATAGGGTTAGATTTATTATCTAAAATTTTGTCTGTGTTTTCTGTATGTGACCCTCCAGGCTGACCTCTTTTGTGATGAAGTCCTTTGGTGGGGCGATACCGTACATCTTTGTGGATCCCAAGCACATTAAAGACGCAAAGAGGTGGCTGTCCAAACACCAACAGACTAATGGCTGCATCAGATCTGTGGGAAAACTCTTCCACAATGGCATGAAGGTAATGGCATCAGTTTGAATGTGGGAGTATCTGGTCAGCTATTCCTCATCAAGCTACAGCACAAACACCAAAAAGCCATGACAACTGTCTGTCTGAGGAACAGTGCAATTGTATCTATTGGGCTTTTCCTACGCGTGCAGACCCCAGTGTTTTATAAGTAGTTGTGATGGATAAACTGTGAACTAATATTTTTAATTGGTAAAAGACACCAAGTGTGTGGTAAGCAAGAAGCCACAGACAGTCTAATGTGAATGTTTTTATGTAAAAGGTTAGTTTCAGACTATTACTCCTGAGGGATGTTTTTTAAAATGTTTACAGTTTGCTTACAGTTTTATCTGCCGAGCTCAGGCTTAGCCCTTACTTGTCTTACACACAAAGCAAGAGCTTCAGCTACTTTAAATTGCGTCGTGAAAAGTAGACAGGCGTGTCTTGACTAAAAAGGAAAGCAAGAAGTAAGTATGTGAATGTGACATTGTGCTGCTTGTTTCCTGAGTGTTCCTGCCGTCCTCCTGTCTCCACCAGGGAGGAGTGAGTGACGACGTGTCCCTGACAGCCTACATCACTGCTGCCATGCTGGAGTTGGACGCCAACGTCACGGTGAGTCTGACGCCGCTCTCCATGTTCACTTTGAGGTCTCACTGCTGCAGCTGCGGGATGTTGAGCTCATTGGATCTGCCCTCATTTTAAATGTTTGCCGTTCTCAAAAGAAGTTCATTTTTATATCCTTGGTCTGCCCACACTGGTAGATTTCCTGTCATGTTTGCTGCCTGTGCTGGAAATGTTCATACAAATGGATCAAATTCTTATTTTTAGATGAAGGTCTTCATTAACACCATCTTCAAAAGGGATTTAGAAAAAAAGAAATTGAAAGTTTAAGTATTAATGTCAGCAGTGAGAGATTACAGCTCTCCGTGTTCTTATTATCTCATAGTCAAAACAGAAAATCAGATGTCGGCACATGTTTGTTATTGTCTCTTTAACTTTAAATGGTCTGTCTTGGGGGCTGCATTTGTCTCTAAAGAAAGTTCTCCCTTCTGCATATTCTCCCACACATTGTTTCATCTTTGTGTTTGCCTGTGGTGTGACAGGACCCCGTGATACACAACTGCCTGAGCTGTCTCAAGGAAGCAGTGGCCCGTCAGATGGACAACCTGTACACCACCGCCCTGCTGTCCTACACCTTCACTCTGGCTGGAGACCAGGAGATGAGGAGCAAACTCATCACATACCTGCACCAGAAGTCCAACACCCAGGGTAGGACAGTGAGACCATCTGATTTCCTCAAACAATGTTACTGCTGCAATCAAGCAGCATGAACACAGATATAAAACTATAATAGGTAAAGTTTCAGAAGAAAATAAACACATAGTGTAGCTGAAAATCTGCAGTTGAAATGTGAAATTGAATATTAGAACTACTGTTGAACAGTTGAAGTGCTGGAAGAAGTAGACGTTTCAGTTCAAGAGAAGGTATTGAATGAAGTTGAAATGTCATTTTAAGACATTTAAGTATCAGTTGAAAAAAGTTGAAATGTCAGTCAAAGTGTGGGTGATAAATTGTGCAGTTTTAGTTTAATGCCTGATATCGATTTTGATATTTGAGGATTTTAAAATCATATGTTCATATGTTATATGCCTTTATTTTCTTTCTTCTTTTCAGAATCACATAGCAAAAACAAAAATTATCCCTTACATTTGTTATGTGTAGTTGAGTCCTCACCAAGATAACGTGACATAATGCAGTTTAAAATAAGCCTTTATTGTTAGTAATAGTACTGTGAATAAAAGGACAACTGATTATGTCAGCTGTGTTTTAATGGAAGATTTTATTGGACCCACAGAAAACAATCCACAAATGTGTACTATGATGCGCAAATGTTTCATTATCTACAAATGTGTATTTTTACATTTGTGATGTGTAAAATCATATCCACAAAACTACGGTGCAATTTGCAAATATGTACAATTTACTCTGTACACAGAGCCGATAATGCATGCATAATGCAATGAATTTCTTTCAGGTGAGAACGTGAGACTTCAAAGAGTTTTGAAGTGTTGAAATGTCAGTTTATGCAAAAGTGTTAAAAGTAGTTGGAGGTGCTCGAGTGTGTGCACTGTAGGCAGTTGATGTGTCACTGACAGCTGTTAAATAGCCGGTTGAAGTGTAAGATCTGAAAGTAGTTTTTTATTCTTCAACTGACGGTTCAAGCACCAGTTGGCATGTAGTGAGTGAAAGCAGCTGAAGTGTCAGTAAAAGGTTCAGTTAATTGCACAGCATGATGTGAGTGTGACGTCACGCACTCTAGGTTTAATGATTTTCCAATGTATTTGTTCATGTTGTGGTCTATTATTTTTATATTGTTTAGATTTTCTTGTGTGTGCTTTGGGAACCTGATAAAATCTCTACAGTCGTATCTGAAAGTCTATCACATTGAAACAGTTTCTGTAACACACTATTCAGTTTGGAAATGTGTAGGCTCACACTCATTAAACTGAAGTGCACATTAGTCATTGCTAACCTCCTAATAGATGACTCCACTGTTCTGACTGGCAGGTGGCACCCGTCACTGGGACAGAGCAGGGGCTTCTGGGAAAGGCCTGGACTCTTTGGAGGTGGAGATGACCTCCTACGTGCTGCTGGCTCTGCTCTCCGGTCCGGCCCTGCCGGACTTTGGTCTGGATTACTCCTCCGGCATTGTCCGCTGGCTGGCTCAGCAGCAGAACCCGTACGGGGGCTTCTCTTCCACACAGGTGGGACAGGCTACACACAGGTGGTTTATGGGCCTTTAGCCTTTAATCCCCGTCACTGTTTTTTAATAACACATCTAACCTCTCCGCCCCTCAGGACACTGTGGTGGCCCTCCAGGCGCTGGCTAAGTACGGCGCTGCCACCTACAGTGAGGAGGGCAGCACTACAGTGACGGTGACGTCGTTAGGAGGCCTGAACAAAGAGTTCACGGTGGATCAGAGCAACAGGCTCCTGTACCAGGAGGAGAAGCTGAGCGAGGTCCCTGGAGAGTACACGATCAAAGCCCAGGGACAGAGCTGCGTGCTGGCACAGGTACGACCCACCACAGGATGAGACAAACACCAGACATGTGAAGCAGGAACTTGCAGGATTGAACTGAAATAGGAGCTAATTTAATGGTGAATGGAGAAGAGGCGGAGAACATGGAGGAAGAAGGAATGTGAATTAAAATATAAAAATGACATCAGTATATAAAGCTGTTTCACACCAGTTAAAAACACATAAATATAGACCGACAAGATGTACTTCAGCAGGCCAATATTATCAACAGATATTACAGATTTATTGGTGTCTGCGTGAATGTTACAGATGTGCAAAAATACATTTCAGAGCAATAGACAACAGCAATATATTTTTGGAAAGTATTTCATGTATTTTCAGCTTAAAATTTTTTTTTATGTACTTTGTATTTCAAGTTACTGTTTAAAACAATTAAAATTTCAGTGGTGATAACTCTTTAAAATGTATGGTTGTCTTATATTAATTGCCACTGATGTCTCTGATAAAAGTGTGTTGTGCCACTTTACATTATCTTTACTCAGACATATTAATCTTTTCAGTCTGGCTACTACGTTGGGGAGTGGAAGTGCTCCGTTAAACATTAATTAACTTTTATGGGGAATTTGAATCTAGATGTACCTACAGAACAATGACTGTATAGATTTCGGCTAAGTGGCTCTTTGTTTCATCAGAACTGAGGCAGGGGTTTGGTTCTTCATCGAGTCCTCTAGGTAATAATCAGGTGTCTGTGTGTCACTTCACACTGATATGTTGATGAGTGTGTGATAAAAGGACAGATGTTGATGCTGTTGTGATCCGTCTCGCCGCAGATCTCCATGCATTACAACGTCCCCCCTCCCCCTGACTTCTCTGCCTTCAACATCTCCACCAACACCATGACCAAGTGCAACATCACCAGGCCTCAGCTCATCCTCTTTGTGCATGTCAGGTACGGTTTGTGTGTGTTGACTGATGATTGGTAGTATACACGAAAAGGCTCTATTATTGATGAGGAATAAACAAAACGGACACCTGTTGGGCCCAAATAATGTCTGTGACCTTTTTGAGAAGACCTTCACATATAGCAGCCAGCATGCAGATATTAAATATCGGCATAACAATATTCTCCATCTGCACTGCCCGGGCAGGTGATAACCTCATTAGATGAAGTGAAGCCACACTGTGTGAGTCGCGTGGTGTTTGACTGTTTGTGTGTGTTTGCAGGTACCAGGGCAGGAGAGAGGAAACAAACATGGTGATCATCAACATCAAACTGCTGTCTGGATACATTCTAGATAAGGTCTCGCTGAAGCTGGTCAGTTCAACAGCTGCACTAAATTAAAAACTAATTCACTACATGGCAAATACTGCCACACACTGTTTGTGTTAGTACTACCAGAGTAATGCTTATTAATATATACTTTGTGTTGGAGTATACTGATGTCTGTGCTTTCGCAGCTGAAGAGCGACCGCTCCGTGAAGCGTGTGGACGTGGAGGAAGGATTCATCAACATCTACTTAGATGGGGTAGGAAGCACTGGCAGAGTGGCTGTGTGTGTTTGATGAGAGTGAAATAACGTTCCTGATGACCGACTACTAGTTAATGTTTTCAGTATATCTCTCTGTGTGAGTCAGTGGTGGATGCAGTATTCAGATCTCTTTACTTAAGTAAAAGTACTAATATCACACTATAAAATCACTCTGTAAAAGTACTGCATTGAAAATATCACTTAAGTAAAAGTATGTAAACATAATCAGGACAATGTACTAAAACTAAACGTATTATTAAAAGTAAAAGTGCTCAATGCAGAAATATGTCCCCTGTGTATAACACTGGTATATCTTAGATCATAAAATTATTATTCCACATGCACTTTGAACTATTTTGTATCAGACTGCAAGTAATAATTATCTTCATAATGAATTCATCTGCTGATAATTTTCTCCATTAATTGATTGATTGTTTTAAAAAAAAGTATGAAAACAGTGAGAAATGCCGTCACAGTTACTCAGAGCCCAAAGTGACACCTTGTTTTGTCCAACCAGCAGAACAGAAGTTCAACATTATTAACAAATATTCAAATAATTAAAATAATTATAAGGAAAAGCAGCAAATCTTCACATTGGTGAAGCTGGAAGCATGAAATGTTTTTGCATGAAAAAACATTTCAGATATTTTAAAAGATCAAAATGGTGGCCAATTAATTTTCTGTCAAACAACTAATCGTTTCAGCTACACTACAATTTATAGCAAAACATCATATTTTATAAACTCTTCATATTCGTATGTTTTGTTTGTAAAAAGATTCATTTGGAAACTAAATGCTGAGCTGTTAAATGTAGTCAAGTTAAAAAAAGTACAATACTTCCCTCTGAGTTGTGGTGGAGGAGAGTTAGAAAGTGGCATGAAAAGAAAATTCTCTAGTAAAGAACAGGTACCTCAGATTTGTACTTAAGTACAGTACGTGAGTAAATGTACTTAGTTATTGTCCACTACTAATGTGGATAAGTAGTAAAGTTGCCTGTTGTGTGTGGTTGCAGCTGAAGAAGGATGAGACAAAGATATACAGTGTGACACTAGAGGAGGATCTGCCTGTCAGGAACCTGAAACCAGCTGTGGTCAAAGTCTACGATTACTACCAGACAAGTAAGGCTTTCGTTCCTTTTCCCCTGCACTGTTTTCCTCGTGTGTGATGCTCAGTTTTCTTTACTTAAGTAATCGGAAATGACTTTTGACAGTGACACAGTAGTATCTTTCTCTCTCATGTCACTCCCTGCCATAAAACCGATGTGTTTTTGATGATGTTTTCAGGCGACGAGGCCGTCACTGACTACACCTCCCCCTGTGCAGAGAGTAAGTTTTTAAGCTTTGTTTTGACAGTTGACATCTGTATCAATTTAGGTAATACATGACATAAAGTTCATCAGAGCACCGCCGCTATCATGGCTGATTAAAATGATTATCAAGTAATGCTGTAACTGTAAGTAATTCTAATTCCATCAAAGTCTGTAATTTGACCAAGATCATACACGTAGCAAAGGGCAAAAAGTTAGAATGAACATACATTTTCTTGATATTACTGTGAATATCAGTAATAAAGTCTACAGACTTTACACCACTCTGTATCCTACATTCATGTAAGACAAAATAACTGTTATTGTGTAGTCCTACTGTTTCTGTTCTGTCTCAACCACAAAGAGTGTTTCTGTTCAGGACACCAAACCGCTGATATTTACATCGATTAAGTCTCAAAATCTAAATTATAGTAATGCTGGAAAGCATATTAACCACAATTTAAACTACTGTAACAAACACATTTTGACAGTAATCATCTTTTTTCTTCCACTGCGAGATGTCTGCAGCAGCGTTGAACTAATTAGCAATAATGCAGCTCAAATATTATTATTGTTGTTGTTGTTCAAATAAGGAGAAATGGTTGTAAACACGTTGCATTGAAACAGTAATAAAGTAAAATAGAGTGTATGTTTAGTTAGACATTTTTATTTTTATAAAATGTTATGTAGACAGGATGAAGCACGTTTTGGAAAACTATAAGTATCCCAATTTCCATGAAGATTTATCAATTTTAAGTGGCTAATGGATGTATTATATAGAAGTTAATGTAAAAACAAGGTTTGTTAAACTGGTCAAATAGTGAGTGAAAAGTCTCTGCAAACAGTAAATGGAAATGCAAATGTGTCTGGGTAGTTCACAGGCAAATGACTGAATTGTTGTCGGAAATGTTTGCTTTCTAGGCGACAGCATCAACGAGCTGTAAAACACGCGTGGAAACCAAGCCCCGACAGGACTTCTCCCAGTTGGAAGAATCACTGTCCGAAAAAAGAAACTTCTAGATGTCTATTTTTTTTGTACTCTATTTGAAACACTTTTTTGTGAGTGAAGCCCACTTTTTGTGCGATTTTAGGAGCAAATTTTTATTCTTATTTTTATGTAGCTCAGAATTATTTTTGTTCTGCTCTGCTCCATGGTAGTCTTGTCCTTACGACTGTTTTAGTAATGAACCAATAATCAGTCAGCATACCGTAGTTACTGCTGTCTCTCTCCTCAACACTGGAACCTTCACATTATAATCCACTGGGTTCAAGAAAAGCAGCAAATATTCTGTAACAGTTCTGTTTTTAATAGATTTGACAAAATCCATATTATTCATATGTGAAAGTAACACATGAGACATACAGGGTACCAATAACACAGTATGGTCCGAGTACTGATTGAGTGTGTGTGTGTGTATGAAACAGGATCTACTTTCTAGAAAAACAAAAGTACAGTCTCATGAGTGCTAGGTGTTATTTTGTGTGTGTGTATGTGCGCGCGCACGCATGTGTGTGTTCTGTTGTACCAGTAAAAAAAAAAAAAAAAAAGGTAGATTGATACATCACTACCGTACAATTTGAAATGTAACGTGGCTGACAATAAAATTTCTAAAATGAAAAAAATAAGTAAAAATTGTAATTCTTTTCATACAATACTGTTTCAATTCATTTCAATAGCAAGATTATTTTTTTCATTCAGGCATCCTCTTTACAGTATATTTAGTTTCCTTTCTTTTCAACATAGATAACAACAGTAATGTATATACCACCTACTATCAACAGACATGATTTAACAGCCTTGCCAGTGTTGAATAGTTTGGTTTGCACATGTTAACTGTGCGGGGAAAGTAAAGGCAAGGGGGACAGAATATATTAAGGTCTTTTCACTAGTCGTCTTCTTTTTTTCTTTTTTTTTTTTAGAAGTAAACATGTCACTATCTCAGGCACCACAACCATAAATTATCATTACTGTACCAACACATGAAACTAAACAACAGTTTCACATGCTCCAAAAATCACAGCGTAGTTTGTCCTCGGCTTCTACGATAGAAAACAGCATCCGGCATCTGTATAACTACAAACTGTCACGTTTCACGGCCGATCAATAGATTCACAATGTGGTAACACTTTGACGAGGAGACGATGCCAGGTGAGCCCGGTCAGTTACAGTCCGTTAAAGCTGAAGATAAAAGATTTCTTTATCCGTCCTCATGCACTCAGGCCTCTACTCACAGTGGGGATTCAAAGCAGGGAGGGAGGTTTTTGTGAATTTCAAGAGGGTATTTAGTTCCATTTTGTTTTTTTACCTCCAAGAACCCAGAATTTGGTATGATTTACAGAATAATCTGAACTGACAAAGTAAACCTGGTAAACCAATACTGAATGTACATATTAGCTGGAATTTTGCAAAAGGAGCTTGATAAAAATGTCATGACTACATCATCAGGGGTATATTCACAGCCTCAAAGCTCCTGCGGAGCCACAGAAGACACTATACAACTGTTGTCACAGGCTGAATAGTACTCCCCTTGATGAGTGAACGGACTTTGACATGTAAAATTGGTGGCGTGCTCCTTTTACAAATGAACACAATATTTTGTGCATTCAGAGTTAAATAACAACCTTGATGATCCCACACTGTGCTCAGAGCCTTCTGTATCTCTGCCTGTAACGATGCTACAGGTAGATGTCCACATGGTGGTGTAACAAAAAACCAAACATGCAGACCTGTCCACATCCTGTACTGCAGCTCAGAAACAAATTAAAATTCATTCACACAATTGTAGCCTCCCAGCGAGGAGGCTACAAAATCTGGACTGGTCAATAACACATAGTCAAGGCACAGTTCTAAATTGCATGAGTCCATATTTTTGATCCTGTGTTGGGGGTGGTCGCTGTCGCGCCCTCTCGTGGTTGCGCTTTAGGCTGGCAGTGATGATGGCTGCTTCCCAGCTGTGTAGTCGCATCATCAATTTAGCTAAAGGCTACTTGGCAAATAGATGAGCTTTTTCTGTTTATGCGTGAGGACACATAGATATGCAGTTTGCACCTTGAGTTGGCAAGATGGCAGCATCACTCAGACGGTTTGATAATCATGTTCAACATATTCAGTACAATGACAATGTGGCAGCTATGGTTGACCAACATACATGGGTTTTGGGGAGTCAGCCTCTGAGTGTTGGACAACATTTGGTGAGTGTCTTCCAAATGATATAATGGATTGACCACTTTCAATACATTGTAAATTGTTACGTTTGGAGGAGTTTTTTTATAAGCATGTTGAGCCTATCTTGTTCCCGCCTAGCTTAGCGCAAAGACTGGATACAGATATAAAGTGTCCCAGCAAAAGGGAAAATTCCATATGAGGGATACATTAAGTGTATTTTTTTTAAAGTGCCTGATTTTTTCTATTAACAGGCATTTTGGGGGAATGCACTTATTTGCTTTTTGCTTGCTCGCTAAGTTAAATATGAAGCTAGAGCCAGTTAACGTTAGCTTAGCCTAGCATAACGACTGGAAGCAAGGGGAAAAGGCAAGCCTGGCTCTGTCGAAAGGTAAAAATAATCTGCGTACCACTCATACAAGAAACATAACATGTTACTGTGTTTTAGAACAGAAACCAGCTAGCTGTCTCCCCTTGCTACCAGTCTTTCTGCTAAGCTAACCAGCTGCTGTAGTTTCATATTTAGCGTAAACATACGAGAGTGGCATCAGTCTTCTCACCCAACTCTTGGCGAGAAAGCAGTTTAAATTTAGAGAATTAGGCCAGAGCCAGGCAGCTCTTAGCATAAACACTGGAAGCAGAGGTAGGAGTCACTGGCCAAACCGAAAAGAAGTTCCAGCACGTAACTCCCTGTTAAACCACAACTTGTCGATTTTGTTCAGATTAAACAGGCCAGGCTAGCAGTTTTCCTCCACTTCCAGTCTTACGCATTGCTAAGCTAACTGTCTTGCGCTAGCTTCCTATTTAGCATACAGACATGAGAGCGCTATCCATCTTTGTCTAGCTCTCTAACTCCTTTGAAAGCTTCGGAGCTGGATGCAAATAATTTTATTTCCCAAAATGTTACACTAACGTTCTAATCCTGAAAGTACTTCATTATTCTGGGTTTACTGGAGCTTTCGAGTAATATTTTAATAATGATACAACAACCAAACAATGTTTATCAGCAGCTTCAATACTAATACCAGTACCAGCTTTTCAAACCACATGTTCATCGAACCATAGTGAGAACGGCAGAGTGAACTCCTGAGCTGTAGTGGGTCAGTCTTAACAGAATACCTCTGATTACTTTGGTAAGCCTATGTGAAGTACAGTCTAGCCTGTAGCTCCGGATCCCTTAATGTGTTGTGGATGCTGCACTTGATTTAATTTTAGTCTTTAGTCTAAGGGCAGCAGTGATGTGAAGTGACTTGTGGACTTGGTTGATGCAATGTTTTACTGTGTTTCACTGTTACAGACAAGTGTGCTGGGCTCCTAGATAATCTCCTGCTGACTGACTGATTTCTGTTATTTCTCATAGATTAATACATTTTGAATAAGATTCTGTCAAATATATTTCTAAATTGTTTACACCATTTGATTGGAGATTCTTTTAAACTCTTTCTGTCTGAACTGAGCATAGTCGTGACGAACACTCAAACAAAACATTGGCATTATGTCATTTGGCAATTTTTTGTATAAGTAAAAAAAAAAAAAAAAAAAAAAGAAAGGAAACAAATAATATAAAAGGACCAACGAACAGTAACTACAAGATCTCCATTTGGCAATATAGAAAGGCTTTTTAAAAGTCTCTGATAGGTATACATTTTGGTTTATATACAGAGGTGTGTGTAAGTGTGTGTCCTCCAACAGCTCCCTTTTTTAATCCAAACTGAATCACGTAGAAAATGTGGAGGTGAAAACATCTAATCAAAGTGTGAGATTAAAAATGATAAGTAACAAAACAAGGCGTTGTGTCCGCTGCGGACTGGAAACATGGAGGGCCTGTAGAGTCTGTGATGGGAGAGTCCCTGCCGAAATGCTCGTCGCCTGCGCTCTCTGCACTGCACTGTCTCTCTCAGTTCATGAACTGTGTGTATCCCTCTGCTCCTGTGACGATCACATCCATCCAGATCCTCATGGCCTCTGCTGAGGGGGCCACCATGTAGTAGAGCCGGTCGTGGGTCTTTACGCAGAACGTCAGGGAGGGGTTTGGGCTCTGGAAGACGGAAAAAAGGAAACTAGAATCAGCCTTTCTTGTGCTCCTAGGCTCACTGCTGCATTCACAGACCACACCGACTATCCTGCTTTCTCATGTTCCATACTCCAAAATGTATTAGGTAGGCTGGTTTCAGAGAAAAAGCTCTGTTGTTTGGTGCTGGGCAGATAGTGTAGTGTACAAAGTTCGCAAGTAGCTAGTGACCAAGTACAGCAATTGTTTGCTAGTAGTGATTATAAAATGTTTTCAGCTTGTTGTGCAAGTGGACAAAAAATGTAATGAATTAATGCAGCTTTAAAGACTTTTTAAAACGTGTGGATGAAAAACATTCTGTACACTACACGGGGAAATAAGATTTTTAACCTGATTACCAAGTTGCAAGTCTGCTTCAAACAAAAATGGGAGCTAGAAATAACATGTCTTTGCCCAATTTGTACAATGGGAACCAAACTGTAAAAGCTGACCATCAGTTCAATGAAATTTAGTTTTCTAAATCAATTATTAACATTGGATCGCTACTATATTTGTCTATTTTGATCTGATCACTTTGCATTATTTCATATTTTCTTCTTTTTTTTTTATTCTTGTCATGTAAAACAAGCCAAGAGATATTAGAGAGAGGCAGAGGCACAACTTGGGAAACGGGTTAAAAATCTTTGATGGTTAGATGAGTCACCATAAAGAGTCACTAAACTACCAACAATAATCCAAAAATACTGGTACTGTACATGACCTGGTGTATCAAAAACACAACAGATTTCATGAAAATAAAGAGAAGTACCTGGAAAACTAACCTGTACGAGTGTTTTCCCTGTGAACGTTTTTGGAAAAGCGACCTTTTCAAACTTTCCCTTTTCTAAACCATCATCTTTCTGTCTTTGCTAAGAACACCAGACTTTAAAGTTTTCTCTCTGTAAAGTGACATTGGAAGTGACAAGTAAAATCAAAGTCCCAGAGTTGATCAGAGCCACACATTTAGTCGGAGCGCGGTGCATTGTGACAGGCCATCAAACACAAACACACACAGTGAAGATGAGGAGGCAGCTCAGCTTTATGTTGGAGATGGAAAATTTAAAAAAAAGAAAAGACGTGTAGTGCTCAAGTCAAGCAGCAAGCAGCTCTGATCGTAAAGAACAGAAATATGGCCAAAAAGTGTGTCTTTGAAAATTAGTAAAAAGCAAGGAGATCATAACTTCTGGTCAAGCCTTAACATGACTAAAATGGCTTAATTACGTGAATCAGGAAGTGTTGTCCTTAACGGGATTTTCCTGCTCAGCCTAAAAATGTAATTATTTCCCTATGCTGTATACATACATAAGCAGGTTGTTGTTTTCTAACAACTTGACTGGTTTAAGCTGGGAACGCTGGCATGGACAGAGGGGTCAAACATATTTTGCGATTCAAATTACAAACGCACACAAGAATCAAACTAGTGCACTGTCTGAGGTCATTAAAAACAGTCCAAGTCTGAAGCATGCATCATCAGACATTGAGCTTGTTACCCTCTTATTTTAATCTCTATCACAATACACAGTCTATGGTTTGGACACACAGGGTTCAGTGAGGTTAGGTGGGTGAGCAGAGAGCGTGGATACATACACTTGTCATATTCAAGTTGAAAAATCCCTTCTGTGACAGCGGCCAGCCAAAGCAAAAGCACAAACGGGGGAGAAAAGAAGCAAACCACAGAAACGCGTTTTAAATGAAAGAGAATGTCAGAAAATAAACAAACTGTGAAGCAGAAAAGAGAAAATGATCGTTTTCAGAGTTCGTTCACAGCATACCTTTGTGGCACTGCGGAGGTGATCATAATAGACCTCTTCTATGGCCTGGAAGTAGATCACACCCTTCAGCTTGGTCTCGTGTTTGTCTGTGGGACGGAAAATAACGCAGGTTTGTTTTAAAAAGACCAAAGAATATTGACGACTTTCTCAGCAAAAAATGCCAAGGCGCATCACTGCCATGTAGAATGAGGACAGGGAGAACACACCATACGGTCATTAAAAAAAAAGAAGAAGAAATCAAACTTTGATCATGACCAATTTATGGTTTGTGTTGATGGATGGAAAAAGACAACCACAGCACTTTTTCTCTGTTTTTAAACCAATGGGGCTCGCATTGTATTTTCATACTTGACTGCATTCTTACGCTACTCTGGTACATCATTGCAGTTTGTTTCATCAGCCACTGCAGAACTGCAGTAAGGAACCGGTGGGGAACTCAACACCCGTCTCTACCTCCAGGCACAAACACTCCACAAGCCAACTTAAGAGTAGTAGGTAGAAACGCATGGCTTCATTTCGAGGAATAACACTTTTCCTTTAATAAGCAGTGATTATCTGCTAATGACCTCTTTAGCATTCAAATAGCCCTGCGTTTGCATCTCATTTGACTGCATCTGAATGCAAGCAAATCAAAACTCCGGTTGAGGTTGATTAATGCGAATTAGCGGCGCTCATGACTTATGCTCGTCACCTCTCGCTCCTCATTGTTCAAGGTCAAGAGACGAGGGCAAGCGATGCATCTCAATCGGCCCCCTCAGAGAGCGCAGCGCTGTGCGCATTTTAACTACTGCCAAAGTAATCTCAGCACACCTCCTCACCCTGGCTCGCTTTCAACAAGGTACGCTTTAAGCAGCTTTAAGCAGAACCTTCTGAGGACTTCAAAGGCCTGACAGGGAACAAGTGTCCCCAGAGCGCACAGCACAAGATCAAATTACACGACTGTGCACGCTACATACTACATGTGCTGCTGCTCAAGGTCTGGAGGACGCATGTTCTGTCTGCCACTCATCCACGGCAGGAAAGTTCTGCCACTTTACATGTTAAACGTTTAAGCTCCGGAACCTGTGACATTTCCATATAGCTGCTATGTTTTGTGTCTGTCGGTTGCTGACTGTTGACACTAAGAAAACTCTTCTAACACACAGCAACTGAATACATCACACTGGTGCAGCTCAGCCACTAGTAACACAGGGTGGACAAATTAGTTGCAATCAAATTAGTCAGTGGTGGTGGACTGTAAGTACATTTACTCACGTGCTATACTTGAATACACATTTCATTACTTTATACTTCAACTCCATCACATTTTAAAAGGTAAAACTGATGTTAAAATCCTACTACAAATGATCCGAGTACTTCTTCCAGCACTGAATGCAATCCAGCACAAGTAATACTACTTTCTAAAGGGTTACCATGTTCGATTTGAGACTGTACTTTGGATTGCATTTGTTGCATTATGGGTTGTTATTACAGCCTTAATGTCGCTAGAACAGCAAGTTTCCTCAAGTCTGTTTGTAGTGTGTCTTTTTTGGAGCTAGTCAGCTGGAAAAAGTGTTTCGGCAGCCCAGTGTAACATATAGTTGTTTCTGAAGACGGGAATTTGACTCCTGAGCAATAACAAAGAGTCAAAAACATCTCCTGCCATCTTTACTGCAGAAACAAACCAGAGACCGAATCATCTGTCAAACAGTTTGATTACCAGTGTCACAGAATGTCATGTTGCAGAGCTCAGAGTCTGAAAACAATGTGAACTGCTGGAGAAAATCATTCTGACCCCCTCAGGAACCTGACAAGAGAGGGCCTGAGTATGCCTGTATAGCTGTTAAAAACAGGGGGGTTGTCTCATAATCAGGGTTGTCTGAAAATGTCTCCGGACTTGTTCTACCGCTGAACAGACAAAAGAGCACCACCGAGGAGGCGCTGACCAGGAGCTCCAATGCCCCCCGCTTCAAAGTACTCCGAGAAGCGCAGAGTACAAACGTCACAGTAGCATCGTCTTCTTACCAACATAGTAGGAGAAGGTTCTTTTGAGGCGGTCGAAGACGAACCAGCGTTTCTTCCAGGACTTGATCTTGCCTCCCATCTTCACCAGGTAGCCCTTGCACATCTTCTCTGTGAGGATGACATGGTAGCAGGTGTCCACGCTGTGGCCCGACGACTCCACGTGCGAGCGCAGGTCGAACTCCTCCTTCCGGATGGGCAGGTAGCGAGTCATAGGACGGGCCTGGACAGCAAAAAAACAGGACAAAACCACAGGAGGATGAACCACTAGTACAGTGGGAATAGGTCGCTGTGAGAGAGATGCACAGGCCTGTACTTGTTTAGATATCCATTACAAATTAAGTTGTCTTAACAATCTCAAATAATGGAATATTCTGATCAAACTTCACACGTGTACAAATGTGTTTTATTTTTTTGCATCTTCGTCTTGTCCGTGAAGAGGCCTCGTGTCCCGTGATGGTGTAAATGCTCTTATACAGGTTTACATTCAGCAGGAGAAACTGAAAATAGGGTTACTTTGGTATGAAAATGGTCACATGTAATGATATTGAATACGGGCCCAAATATTCCCTGAAGCTTCACGCTTAAAAATCCTGGTATCCACCCCCAGAAGCCCATATCTGTAAACCCCTGCCGTGTTTGCAGCACACAGGTGGAGTCATTTTCCACTTTCGCACCATGCAGACTCAATTATGTCTCATTTTACTGACCTGAGAGAAGTTCTTGGACCTCATCTTGACCTCCTTCTCCACTAGCTGCTGCCGGTGGAAAGTTTCATCCTGCAGTCGCTTCTCGGCCTCCTCCCTCCTCCTCCTCTCCTCCTCCAGCATCTGACGGCGAGCCAGGCTCTCTCGTTCCTGGAGGAGAGTGCTTTCATTAAATATTTTTTTGATCTATGGAAGAGCTTTGCAGAGTCCGCGTGCTATTTTTTTTCTTTTTTTTTTTTCTTCCAGCTTCACATTCATATATTTATGTGCGCTCACGCTGCTGGCCACCGTGCAGCTCCACCACCACGGATGATTCTATAAACAGAAGGCTTTTGGTAATCTGGAGAAGTACTGATCTACTCCATATGAATGTATTGTGTACAGTGTGTTGCTTCGTTCCGAGGCCCAGAGTGTTTACATTTTTACATTTATTCAGACGCTTTTATCCAAAGCGACTTACAATTGCCATACATGTCAGAGGTCGCACGCCTCTGGAGCAACGAGGGGTTAAGTGTCTTGCTCAGGGACACACTGGTGGATGGGTCACAGTGGGAATCAAACCCAGGTCTCCCACACCAAAGGTAAGCATCTTATCTATGCGCAATCACCACTGTCGTCACTACAATCCTGACAGTTAAAGAAACATAAATCGCTGACACTCACTTTTATTCACAATTCAGGGATTGTTCAGCTTTTTAAAAACAGTTTGGTCCTCAGACCGTGATCAGGTAAAATTCAAAATATTCTGAATTGTGTACTAGAGGGTACATGCCAGTTCTCTTAACTGCATCCACATCTCCAACTGGAGACTCGAGGAGAGATGCAAGGAGGAGGCAACTGAGAAAACACATTTCTAGAGAAATGAGATGACATCTGGCAGCACAGCTGGATCACAATGGAGAAGGTTTTTTTGTGAATCAGACCTAAACACAACGCGGATCCATTATTTTCAACTAGATGGTGAATCCATTTAATAATAAATCTAAAACCTCGGAATATTATCCTTGAGTTGTTGTTTTTTTGTTATTTGTCCGCTTGGTTATAAAACTGCAGCGATGTGATGTGGAATCAGATCAACTGGTAAAAAAAGGAGCTGCATTCATATAGTGAAATATTTTAATGCACTACTGAACTGATGGATGCTAAATGAGAAATGTGGGAGACAAAGCTTCAGACCAGAACATTGATCTGATGATCTTTCTTGGTCTTTGTATTTCAGTCTCAGCTTCTTCACCAGGACACAAAGAGATGAAGACGTGTGAAACATGGCCAATAAAAATGAATGAAAGCCTGGAGTCGCTGTCCTGAACCTTTGTTTTTTTTCAAATGTATGTTCACTTTAAAGCTATTGGCAGGCACACTGCAAGAGCTCTCATCAATCACTAGGGATGGATTCTAAATAATCCAGGTCTCGTACTGTAACACCCTTTTGAAGTTGTGTCTTACCCGCGATTCGATAAGTCTGGCTTTCTCCAGCTGCGCCTCCTTCAGCATTTTCTCCATCTCCTCAATCTTCAGCGTGTCCGCTCCACCAACACTGAAGTCAAACACAAACCACAGTGTTACTTTTAGATACTAAACTCTGACACTTTCATATCCGAAGCGACAAATCCTACATTCAGCAGTTACATAACTGCATATCAACTCAGTAAACTTAAAACTTTTATTTGATGCTTCTCATCAACACCCAGTGAACTGTTGATCGACTGTACAATATGGGGTCACTCAATCTTTGACATGGTCTTAAGAGAGATTTATTTCAGTATAAATATCAGTCTGATCTACTTTCAGAGTCATAAGAGTTTTGTAGCTGCAATGGATGTGCACTTTTAGCTGCTACATCATTTCATTCATGTTAGTGTAATATGAGGATGGAGATAAAACATGGACATCTCTCTGTCACTATGTGTTCATCTACATTCTCACTGTAACTACAGTAGCTTCTTCATCACTGGTCCTGGAGCTAAACTAGTGTAACGCTTCCATTTGGAAACGCATAATATTCCCTAATAGGCTCATAAGCATGCTTTATTAACCGCTGACATTTAGCCATTATTCCCTTCAACAACATAGTAGAGCTTTTTAAACATAGCTGAGCAAAATGAGACCACGATTGCTGGGAAGTGAAACAATAACACCCAGTTACTGATGTGCCGCTATGAAACACTCAGTGTCTCGGCCAAAACTTGGCTCATAAACCTTGCTGCTTTACCATTTCCCCCCTCCCACTGTTACACTGTTACATTAACGTCATGTTAAAACACATCTCTAACTGTTTTTGGAATTGGACTCCAGAGAGCTATAGACGGTGTGTGAACAAGAGGTGGTGCTGAGAACATGATGTGGGGAACACTGTTGTAATACAGCACACAGAGGGACCACATTAACATATGGTCTACAAATTAGCCGACCTGTGGACAAAGACTTTACCTGGTGGGAGCAGCTGTCTGTTGCCATTCATTGCATTTGTCTCTGTGTGTGCGTTTGTTAGGGTCTGATTACTACTTTAATTTTAATACTTCATACATTAGCTTGATATGGATAATCATATGTTTAGACTGAAGGCACTAATAGTCAACATTTTTATCATAAAATCCATTGCTGTGGCATTCAGAGACAGTGACAGGTGGACTGAATATTAGTCCATCCCATGGTAAGCATGCTCTAGCCATGACTGTATGCGTGTGCCCTTTCTCCGTTGTACCTGGACATGTTATCTGGTGAGCAGGCCGAGTTGTTCCCCGTGGACACGCTGGTGTCCATGCTGTCGGAGCTCTCCAGGCTCAACGTGTCATAGGGCTGCTCTCCGGCTGATGGGGGCTGGTGGTGCAGGATGGAGTGGTGAACCAGAGGAGGAGGGCCCATAGAGCTGTGGCTCAGCGCAGGGCTGTAGGCCATGACCGGGGAGTAGGAAGGTGATGAGGAGGTCGAAGTCATGAGGTGCGGCTGAGAGCCGTGGAGCGCATCCCACTGACACTGAGCCTCCACCGCCGCTCTCTGTTTGAGCTCGGCCAGACGACGACGCTGCTCTTCGATCACCTGCTGACCTGCAGGGAGGAGGGGGAGTGGATCAGCTCTGATTTGAGATGGAAGATGAAACAATGACTGACCATTCAACCTGCTTCAACCTGGGGACCAACCAATTTGTTTCCGACAGAGGTGGGAGATCACCACATTTAAACCAGCTAGCCATAGAGAAGGTCATCCCAAGCCTACCCCTAACCAGCAACAGCCCGCAATCTACAAGACCATAAACCCTGCACCACACAGAACACTATGTGCTCTCTCAGTAACACAAGCTCAAAGATAATTACAAAATCCTATCATGTCCCATCAACGAGAAGTTCAGTATGTTACTCCTCACGCTTCAAATCCATGCTGCTGTGCACCTGATAATGGGCAGATACATCTGGAAAGACGTGCCCGGGTCGATAGCTCCAAAGGAGGAGCTCACTGAGTGCTGAACATGCAAGATTTATTCTCCACCAGCAGGAATGTTCATAGAAGATTGATGGAAGAAGAAAGACTGTTCGTTGTTACAGAGAAAAGACAAGATGAAAAGAAATCTTCGGGTGAGACGAGTTAATGACACACCAGAGATGGAAGAGACTGAGAGAGAGGGATGGAGAGAGGAGGGTTAGGGGAAGACGGGGAGTAAAATGAACAGCCGCCAGGTGTCAGCTTCTGGTAAACGTTACCTTTGATGGATAAATCAATAAAAGTTACCTGACAGACTCGCTTTCGGTGTTGAGTTTTGGTACATACAGTCTTCACCTAAGCTTGCGGGTTCCTGATTGGCTACGTGTTACCTCAAACTTAACTTATCTGAATGATTAATATATACGTTGGTGTAATTTTTACCCATTTCTTAGTGATTCAAGCTATAACAAACAAGCAGACAGTCATATGAAGAGAGAAGAGATGATCGCAAAGAGTACAGTCTAGACCACAGTCCCATGAGATAACTTTTGTTATGAATTATATATAAAATAAAACTAAATTTAATGGAATTGAATTATTCTCTGCAGCTTTTATGTTGACTGTTGGTAGGAATACTATCTCGCCTGCGTCTGACGTATGGCGAGATAGCAGACGAACAAACAGGATTAATCCTGCTGAACAAAATAAAGAAAACGTAAAAAATCCTGGACGCAGTGATCCATCTACCTGCTGAGCCTCCCTCTATGGTGTCCTGTCTGGTAGTCTGAGGCTCTGTGGTGCAGCAGTGCACACGTCCACAGACAGACACACACATGAAGGAAGCCTGAACTGCAGACGCCGACAAACGTGACTAACTCGGGTATCCAGCCCAGCACCCGTGGGTGGCAGTCAGCTGAGCTAAAACAACAGACTGCTCTCCTCTGATCCATTTAGTCAAACAATACTGAGGCATGAGGAACTGATGTCACACACGTACAGCTCCACGAAGAAGAGCAGGGCAACAACGAGAGTTTTAAGTGCACCAGTGAAGGCTAACGCACTAATGACTAATGAATATCTATTAATGATGTCCACATGCTTTGTCATTATTAGAAATTATTCAATCACTTCTCTATGGAAGCCCAGAGACAAGTGAGAAAAATTGTTCTGGTGATCCATAATCTCTCCTGTCTATATGACTTAAAAACAGGTGAAATTAAAAAAAAAGGTTTGCCGGGACGATCTTTCTAAGTTCCTTACATTTTGTTTTCATCTGTCAAACAGGTGGGGAAAAAAGCATTTGTTTTTTTTGTGAAAACAGGTGATAATCTCTCTAAACACAAGGTACATAACTTGCTAACACCTTGTGCTTAGGGGGCATGAAGAAACTCAAAGTCACCTGGAAGAAAACATGAACACTTGTAGTCATATTTAGAGATGGGATGGTGGTGCACTACAGCCTCCTGTGGTCAACATGAGTATTACAACAACAAACACTGACAAAATCAGTTGAAAATCTGATGTCACAGATGAAAAAAAAGATGAAAAATAAACTTAGACTAATGGTCCTGGCAGACTTGTATATGATCACCTTGGCAAGACATTTTTTATCACCCATTCTTGAGCCATAAAGAGAGGAGAGAAAACTATTTAGATCAGACTTTAAAAATGGATCACCGTAATCTTTTTTTCCTCTCAGGGCTTCCGTAATTTTTTACACGCAAGTATAATATTTACTTCTGCGTCTTGTGAACATCTGCTGCTGCTGTAATTGGCTCTTGTTTTGTTGTGTTTGTTCTCTCTGTCCTCTTTTTTGTGCCCTTGAAGCTACATTAAATGCATAAAATGTGCTATATAAATAAACCTACATCAGTTGTCACCTGATGTAGGTTTAAGTCATTTTTACAGGACTGAAGAGGTAGAATTATTCAAGAAAAAAATTCTGAATACATAACTAGAGCTTTAAGCAGCAAACAGTTTCTTTCATGTGTTGTTATCTTGTGATAACTCCGATTTATCCAGCAAACCCTTAGTGGGTTCAGACCCACAGGTTGGGAACCACGGACCTAGATATTGAGAGATGACTAAGAAAAGCATGATTAACTTAATTTATGAATAACTATGGCACACTGTATTAATAACAGTGTTATACTTTCATTATTTGCAATAAAGCATTTTCCTTTAACAAGTAAATATTATGGGAAATCCAGTGTTCAGGTAGTTGTTATTGAATCATTATATTATGAATGCACGATGGTTTTTGTAAAGTGAAGCTTTGGGGCAAACCAGGTCTGTTACCTTTCTGCTGCAGAGCGAGCTGTCTCTTGGTCTCAATGTCCTGCAGGGTTGCAGCCAGGTTCCTTGGCAGACTGCCAGTGCTGTTGGCCGCCAGAAGAGGGCTCTGCTGGGTCAGAGGGCGCAGACAAAATATTAGGATTAAATGGCATAAACAGGTTTAAATGGGGTTTAAATAATTAAGGGCAGTTAATAGTCTCAAAGAAGATGAAGATGTAATACTAAATTAGAGGTTGATGGCCACCTGTTAAAATGGAACAACCTGTTACCTTTGAGCTTGTGTTGCGTCCCAGTGTCGCTGCTCCGTGCTGCAGAGGGGATGCCGAGCCTGACTTAGGCTGATGAAGAGACAGGCCTGGATCACTGTCCAGCTTAGAGCGGAACACCTGAGGGAGGAAGCAGACAGAGAGCATGAAAAGATCAAAATTAGGAAGCGCCGATTTTTGCACATTTTGAAGTGGCCTTTTGTTGTGGCCAGCCTGAGGCACAACCTGTGCAATCCCCATGCTGTCTGTTCAGCATCTTGATATGCCACACCTGTGAGGTGGATGGATTATCTCGGCAAAGGAGAAGTGCTCACTAACACAGATTTTTGACAGATTTGCGAACAATATTTGAGAGAAACAGGTCTTTTGTGTACACAGAGAAAGTCTTAGATCTTTGAGTTCAGCTCATGATGAATGGGGGCAAAAACAAAAGTGTTGCGTTTATAATTTTGTTCAGTGTACGATTAGTGTTTTCCTGTGCGTGCTACTGAATACTGATGTCGGTATAAATTAATACACGCAACACACATCAATACAAATGGTAGAATTAATAAATCAGGGTTAAACGAGCAAACGAGTAAATTTCAGTGTGACAAAAAATATCAAAAACCCTACAGACAAAACACGAGATAGGCTGTAGTTTAACACACACACACACACACAACCTGCAAACAGACACCTAGTCCCTTTCATTTAATAGTGCTTTGATCAGGCCCACTTAAGTTAATGCTGCATTCATGTACTAAGAGTATCTGTGTGGAATGAATTGATGTTCAAAGTAATGACTTGAAAGTGTTCACACATTCAAACTTTTTTTAAGTGGTGATTGAAGTTTTCTGTGGACTTCTTCTGCTACAGGCGACCACTCTCAGCTTTATTCCAAACTGAACACACATAAATGGACCTCAGCAAAGCAAACCACGTTGTTCCAGTCACAGCGAAAAGCTCCAGCATGCAGCTGTGTCGATCTGTTTTCATTTGTCAGGCTGACTTTCAGACACATTCTCTCTCTACCTTTGACAGTATTTTTAAGTCAGAGTTGTTGATCATATCAAAGCAGAGGTGAACTCTAACTCTAATTTCCAGTAGTTTTAAATAGGCTTCAAGGGGGAAGTCCTTTCCATATGATGTGAATGCAGCATTATCAACATCTGACATGTAAAGGCTCTGCTCCTTTGACACAGTTGTTGCAACTTGAGTTGAAGCAAGTTGAAAGTAGAGGAATAACAGCACACACAAACGAGTGGGGAAAATGAGGAGAAAGAAGAAAGGCCCTCTACCTGCAGCACAGGCCTGCGGCCCGACAGAGACTTGGCTGGCAGAGGGGGAGGACAGAGCTGGCTGGAGCAAGCCATCAGCTCCTGGTACCACTGCTCTAAATCTAGCCTGGGGTTGTGAGGCCTACCGCTCTCAGACTGGTACTGGAGAGCACACGGACGAGCGGCAAAGAGGCAGAACAGGAGAGAGGGTGGAGGAGAGAAGAGAGAGAAAGAAAAGGAGAAGACAAGAGGAGATTAGAAAGCATTCAAAGACAATAGGAAACGGATAGAACCATTTGTTTTATACACCCTCAAAAGCTGTAATTAAAGCTTTTTTTCAAATTTTCCTTAAATATATTCAACACATTGGTGCTGTATTATGCTTTCTACCCTCCAGCTGCTATATCCCTATTTTACATGTCTCTATTCTAATTCTATTTGCTGCTGCACTGACCCAGTTTCTCAGAAGAACATTTAAGTTTTCATCTAATTTCATGTTTTACTTTCAGCTGTCCTTGAAGCCTAATACAATTCTACAGTTCACAATTCACAAAAGGTGAAAGAATGACATTAGATTTAGTTTTGTTTGATTTTTTTTTTTAAGCACCACTGTCTGTTCTGTCTCTATTGTTCTAAAAAAAAAAAAACTATTTTAAACAGCAGATTAAGACTGTACATTACTGTTAGCTTGTCATGGTGAAAGTGAAGAGACCACAGTGATTTCTTTTAAATGAGTTCTGACAATCTGATTTTAACATACAGAGGAATATGACTGGGAAAACTTTAATACACATGATATCAAATATATTAGTGTGAGACACTTCAGGTGAATCTTTGCAGCCTGCCGTACAACAGACAGTAAGAGCTCCTGACTCTGACAAATACAGTAACATCTCAGTGGGCTTCTATAGTGTCAGGAAGAAAAGTCTGGTATCATCCTGTCATTTTTATGTCTCCCTTTTTCTTTACTACACTCACACCAAAACAGAGCGCTGCAGTTTAGCTGCTGGAGTATTAAAAGAAATTCTGTTGGGATAAGAACATAATTTAAAAAAATAAATAAATAAATAAATGAAAGAGAAAAAAAAGGAACATAATTTATAGTTATAGATATAGATAGATTCAACAAATGTATGTTTGATCCATTCTTTCTTCTGTTTCATGAAATATCACTGTGAATGGAATACGTCTCCTTTTTAAAACTCCACTGATGGGCCCAAACAGGGGTGCTATAATATTTAGTTCACACTGGATAAGTGACTAAATGAATTATTTTTGAGTCAATGTACAATATTCTCCCACAAAGTAATGCACAAAAGAAGTGCAGGAGCTGCTTTAGCATCTGCATCCTTCATTTGAATTTGTCGAGGAAAAACTAATCCCAGGGGTGGGTTAGACGTTTCTGATTCACAACTTACTGGATAGGTGTATCTCTAAAATATATTGAAATAAAACAAGAGGAAAAAAACACTTTGGTAGAACCAGTGACAAACAAAGGCAGAAAGGAAGAAAGGAAGGAGGACAGCACACACCTCCACAGAGAGAGAGAGGGAGGAGCCATGAGGAGAGGGGAGGCAGGAGAAGGCGGGGTCTACTGCTCCAGGCTGCAGGGACTGGCGAAGCGGGGAAGTAGGGGACGACTCCACCTTTGGCATCCCATACATCTGATTTAACTGGCCCACTGTCACATACTCCTTTCCAAAGGCAACACACACACACACACACACACACACACACACACACACACACACACACACACACACAAAGGGAAAGGGAGAGGAGACAGACAGCAGTGAAGACACTCAGTGACCTTCGGCATTCATGAAGGTGTGAGGGGAGGAGGGTCTGAAAGGAAACATTGACTGCTTTATAACACACAGCACAATTCACACAATCAACACTAGGGTTCGTCTGATACATGGAGCCGACACTGGCCTAATGTCATGTCATCGCCCTAACAGGCTGCCTCTCTGGACACGCATTAATCACTTTTCATATATTCATTTTTTTCCTGGGGGTTTGTCACATGTTATTAGAGCTGGGTATCACTGGGAACCAATCAAACACTGTTCAGATAATTCCTCATTTAAAAATGATAACGTTGGTCATTTAGACTGTAGTTCTTTTACGGTATGCGTGGCTATTCTGTGTTTAGAAAAGGTAAAGAGTGATGTGTTTCTCAGGTTTTGCTTATTTTGATGGTTCTTAAATAGGAAAGATAAACAGAAAAAAAACGCTTAAATATGTTTAGATGTCTCAGGTATTGATAAAAGTATTGTGCTGATGTTGGCCCTGGAGGCCTAAGGGTTTAAAGCGCAGATCACAAACTGCAAACATCACTTGTTTGAGTCAAGCGGCGGACATTTCTTGCATTTCATTCCAGCCTGTCCCTCTTCCCTCATTTCTTGTAATGCCTCTGCTTTCAGTTATCAAATACAGGCTGAAAAATGCCCCAAAAATGCCTTTTCTCAAATACCATGTATATCCAGCCCTACATCTTACACAACTAAAGTTTTGTTTTCAGAATAAAGTTATGAGGTCTCTCTTGTAAAAGAGATTTTTGATCTCAATGACACTTCCTGGTAAAATAAAGGTAAAATAAAATAAAAATCAAGTTATGAGGGGAATATTTTTGGCATTCGATTTTACAGTTTACTCACTGCATTAATACAAAATACCAACTTCAGGTTTCCTCAAAACAAACATTGCATTTATCAGTCCTTCCCTAATTTAACCCCCTGTTTTGCTGACACGACGCCGACGTAGAGCCTAAGTGTGTACTGCAGGAGAACACTGCCTTGCAGCTACAGAGCGGGACAAGCTGATTCCACCAAAGGCCCATGTAGCAGAGCAAAGCCAACAGTACGGTCAGTTTGATTAACAGCAAACCAGCAGAGGGAGCAACATGACATGAAAATGGAAGGATGGAGAGAGAGAGACAGAGAGAGCAGAGCACAAAGTCAAGACAGAAACGACAGACTGGAAGTGATGGTACCTCACAGGCGCCAGCTAACGCAGCATCTATGGCAAACGAGCGGCTGTGAGAGGTGGGCTTGCTGCCTTCGTGGTGGCCGCTGCTGCCGTACATCTTATAGACATCCGACAGCTTCATGTAATCCTGAGCACCGGCCAACAGCGGGCAGACAGGATGAGAACAACACTCTTACTGTACATCTTATGTACAGTACATACAGTACAACACACACAAGCAGAGAGCTGGTAGAGATTATGTGTTGAGAAAGAAAAAAAAAATCCTGGCTTGTTATTACAGCTAAAACAGTGAAAGGTGCATGTGACGACAGACAAACAGGAACACGCCAAGCAACAGGAAGTGCACCTTTAGCATCACAACTGGCTAGCACACAGGATGTCACACACAGGTACTTTTGTGGGCTGTTACAACAACCAGTGATGTAGTGGGAAATAGGAAGATGCTGAAATTGTGTCCTCTAGCTGGTATTAATCACAAGGTAGAAACAACTCTTGTTATATACGCTCCTGTTTGACAGAACTTGATCTGATTGACACTGGTTCCTCGTGTGCACATAAAGTGGTCAGCAACATGGGATTTATGTGGGTTTAACGCATCTTCCACTACATCGCTGGGCTCTGAACAGACAAAAAACAACTTGAGCTCTACAGTACTGGACACAGTAAGTCACAGGTGCAATTAAGAGTCGCAGTTTGACCAGGACACTAATGATACAGAGGGCGACCTACAGGGTGAGTTGCACAGACAGCAGTGGGGAAGCAGCGGGCTTCATGCAGGGATCATTAGTCCGGTTACCTCCGTAGGGCTGCTGGGGTACAACTGACAGGGAGGGGAGGGATGTAAGTAGGAAGGAGAGGCTCGACAGAGGGAATGCTGGGAGGAGTAGACATCCTCCAACAACAGGTCAGCCTCGCTGATATGGAGCGCTTCCTGTTTCAACAATTCAGGAATAAGTGCTTTTAATGCCTACAGAAAACGTACGAGACACTAGACACAAGTTCTGGCCTCCACAAAAAAATAAAGGTAAAGGCAATGTGTGAAGCAGGTGTGTGCCCTCCCTCTGTTACAGCTTTCAGTCTGAGGTAAACACTGACCATTACGAGATTAGTTTGCCGTACACACTAATGATCAAGAACGCGGCATTAGAAAGAGACAGCCGCCGTCAGTCATTAGGTTAGTCTGATTACATCAAGTGTGGCCAACAGTTAGATCCAAAAGATTATCATCACTTTTACACACCAACAAATCACTGTGAGTTAAAGGAGTACATGTGGTGAGGAATCTTTTTTAGGCCAGGTGCACACTGTGTGAATGTGTGTGTGTTCACGGCACACACACGGAGGGTCGGCAGTTCTCTCACCTCTCTCATTGCAGTGGAGGACTTGGGAAAGCCCTTTCCACCCGTCAGGCTGTGGTATCTCTTCTCCAGGGCCGACAGCCTCTCCTTCTCCTGGAGCATAAAGGCACATGTTAGTTGTTCGGGGAGCAACTTTTAAAGGCCCAAATATCAGAATTATTGGAAACTGCTCATTTTTAGATATCTGCAATTATCTGTCGCCTACGTTTCCTTCAGAAACGTGATTCAATGCGATCACGGTGTGAGTTTGAACTGGTTCCTGTGTGTACCTTTTGGAGCATTTGCAGTGTGAGGGTCCTGTCTTTGGCCAGCCGGTCACACTCCTGAGACGCCTGCAGGCCGAGCTGGTTGGCCTGATTCTCCAGAGCAGACACCTTCTCCTGCAGAAAACAACACAGAAAGGACTCAATCTTCAATGCAATTTTGCTAGAGTAAATAATAGAATTAGTGAAAATAAGTATTGATTTCATGCGTTGACATTGCTTGTGCAGTGAGTAAATATGCAAACTGGGTTCAGATGGTTGAGGCTTTTTGGCTGCTAGCTCTCTGCCTGCTGTGTGAGTGTACACTGTATTTCCTTTGTACTGGATTCTGAGGCTCTACATTGCTTACACAGTGTAAGAAGAAAAAACCCCATATTGTTCAAATCATCATCAGGATTTTCTTGTATTCCAGATCCCACCGTCTGCCAGGTGTTTCCTCACCTTCCTCTTGGCCACACTGCTGTGGTACTCTGCTCTCTCCTGGAGCAGCTGCTGGCTGATGGTTTCTCTTTCCTCCTCCAGGCTGCTTTCTCTCTCCAGCTGCTGAAACTCCAGGTCCTCAAACTTTTTGGTTCCTGCTTCCAGGGCCTCTCCGTCCTGACGGTGATCCACATACAACATCAGCGGTTACGACATAGACAAAAAAAAAAAGACAAGTATGCACTGCTCATTTTAAAGCCATCCACCATTCTCAGGCTAGCGCAGTTGCTAAGAGCAAAGCGAAGACACCTTGATATTTGCATTTGAAGTAAAAGTCAAAACATTCTCCCAGCATGGCTGAAGCTCTGCTCACCGTGCTCAGTCAAGCAGACAGTTATGAAGAACATGCTCCTACTGCAGCACTGCTACTGGTGGTACTATACTGGTTATTAGATGTACTGTAATACACAAAAGGCAAGGGGCGGCTATTTGTGGGGAAAATTTATATTTTTTTCTGCTCAATCTCATTCGATTCTTTACAGTTACAGCACAAATACTTTATGCTAAAAACACATTAATTCCAAAATACATTTATCAACATATTTATATTTAAAATGCTGATATAAAACCAGTGCTGGCTTCATTGTAACCATACTATATTGCAGTATATCTTTATGTAGCTGCTGACATGTTTAAGTTTTACAGCACTTCTGTCAGCACACAAGTGTTTGAGGCTGACGGCTCTTGAGAGTCTTTCTAGCACTTGTGAAGGACCCTTCAGCTGGCAGTTCACGGACATGTTTGTTACTGAAGTGACTAATTTTTGCAAGTGGTCAAAACAGGAACAAAGAACTCAAGACGTTATTCTTTTTAGCACCTAAGATTGAAATGTACTTCTCGCTGCAGATTGGGCCCCGAGATCCCTACCTGTCCATCATAAAAATCCGTAATATGAGATCCCAAACTTTATTTATGCTGGCTGCTGTACTCTCTGAATGTGAGCCAAACCATTTTAATATAAACTCTAAAGCTAAATCACAGGGCCTGATTCTGCACTCAGAACATCACTGTCGCCAACACATACATTTAATTATTCTAACAGGTAAAAATGATTCATCTTTGTTTCTGGTAAAAATCAAACAACAACATCAATTTACGTAAGAGAAGTCACAGCATGGGAGCGAGGGAAGACAGAGAATGGGTCTAGTCAGGGCCTATGTTAATTGATTAGTGAGCAGTTATACAAATTATGCAAGCCATGACACATCACAGCAGAGATGCAGATCAGATTCACACATGCAGTGCGGCGCCACTGCGTCACATGACGCACACGTGACCAAAATACACCACTGGCAGCTGAAGTGACCAGGAGCCATTTGCGTGCTCCTGTGTCGACCTGAGGGTCTCAGTAGCACGTAGGTGTGGTCAGGAGGAGGGAAAATTCCTGCAGCTTTATGGCAACAGCACGTCTGTGAGGGGCACCGAGAGGGCTACTCATAAATCCGTGCTTGTGTACGTGTGTGTCTGTAAACCATATGTAGTGGGCCCCTGCTAAAGGCTTAAAAGGGGCCAGTAGCACTATGTGCGGTGGCATGTCCTGAGTGCTAACACATATACTGCCCCAGGAAGGCAGACAGCAGTAACTACACAAGAGTCAGATTCAGGTCTTAATGCTGTGACTGGCGGCTGGAAGGAAAAGGGCTGGTTCAACTCACTAAAAGGTTGTAGGTGGGATGGTGACAGTGATTTCAGGGGAGGGGTATGTGGTGGTAGACTGGGTCAGGTTTTGTGGTTTGAAAAGGGGCAAGTCACGTAGGCGTTTGGGAGGGGTGGTCTAAGTGCTTCTGTTTGACGACCCACCCTTTTGAGCTGTTCCTGCAACTGTTCCCGCAGGGACTCGGGACAGTTATGAAGCTGGTTCTTCAACTCAGCGTAGCCCTCCTGGAGGCTCTGCAGGGCCCGACGCTCGGCCTCAACATTAGCCCTCTCCTAGAAAGACACAACACACATCCACACACAGGATGGGTGGACCAGGGGAGAGAGAGAGAGAAAGAAACAAACGGCTCAAAATCCACGCCATGCAAATAAAAAGCTGTAAAGATGTTAGCAACAGACACGTCATGACAGATGTTTAGGGCTCGGCAGGGCACAGCAAGTAGGCACTGAATTGTAGGGATGTTACAACTGGTTGTCTAGGATTCATAGATGGCACATGGTCTTACAAACAGAGACAATAATCCTAACACATTCTCCTAATAAATTTCAATGAATTTAATTTTAAGTAATAGTTCAAAACTTAATATTTGAGTGCCTCCCTAGGACTTGCTAAAATCATTCTGCCTGTCACTGATGACTATTGACTGTAAATATCCTGAAAGATCCAACATATTTTCTAACAAATGTAACTTCAATAAGGTGTGGGAAATTTGCCCCATCACTGACTTGACATGCATTGGCCCCAGAACATTTATAAACTCTCTTGTAATAAGCTGTGAGCGCTGTAAACCTGACAGTAGGAACACTGTCTCAGTTGCTCTCCAGTTAAAATACAGAAATATGTCTCTTTGGTGCTGCTCCAGTTTCAAGCTCAAGAATCAATCAATAACCACTAACTCTGCTGCTATTGGCAGTGTTGCAGCAAAGGTGGCTTTAGTATTTCACCTTGTACCATCTTCATTCTGATGTGGAAAACTGAAAAGGATGAAAGGTTTTTTTCAGGACTACCAGCACTGACAGGAGTTTCACTCTCAAGTCTTTTCAGAGTCGAGGGGAAGCTCTGGTGAGGCTTTGAGCTGTTCTAAGAGACACCGCTGATTCATTTTTATACTATAATGCCAAAAATCTTATAGTCAGTAGTAGAACCTCAGGTTCAAGGAGAATTTATCCTCTTATTGATCCAGTTTCATGAGGATTCCCACGTACGTGAACTTGTGTTCCTTGACATAATTAGTCAGAAAATTTCAAGAGAGGTTTATAGTGCAGGAGGGGAGGTGACACTGAGACATCAGATCAAAGCATTTCATCACTGACTCAGTGACTTATCCTTCAATAAAGCAGTTGTAAATGACACCTGTACATTTTGTTGGGAATCCTGACAGGGACAAGGAGATACAAAAATAAACTTCGGACTTTATCAACAATTTACCAACCAAAAGTCAAGACACTAAGCTGGTAAATGTGATTTCTCTCCAGTTTAAATGTGGTGGGTGTAAGTAAAGAGAACCCCACTAAAACCACTACAGAGAGCATGCGAGTGGTTTTCTCTGTCCACTACCTGAACACCTTATTCAAAGTCTCTTGCAGAACCCGTGCACTACAGAACCAAAGGCTAAACAGCTGCTGGAGGGCGGGTTTCCTGGCCCACAGGGTCTGTCATGCAGACGGTGAAGAAACAGGCGAGCACAGTGGATCAGAGAGGAGAGACACAGTGACTGTGAGTGCTGAAGAAGCAGAGAAAGGATTAGGGGTTAATGGATGTCGGTTAGTCCAGCTATGGAGAAAAATAGATGATGAGTTGACCTGAGAGCAAACCACTGAGGTGAAATCATGCAAGAGAGAATACCCAAGGAGGTAAATCCAATCCCTTATTTAGCCCTTTATATAGCTTCAAATTATGTGATTGCAATTATGTGTGTGCACTGCATTCAATTCAAGTCAAGGATGCCTGACGTATGCAAGAACACCAACAGTGATGAACCAGCAGGGAACGTGTGAAGACTGTTCACAAGACTGTAAAGGAGCAGGCAGTGTGTGTGTGTGTGTGTGTGTGTGTGTGTGTGTGTGTGTGTCCTCTCTTTTCTACATGTCACAGAATGTACATAACCTCGGCAAATATTTGAATCCTGTATACTTGCATATAATTGGTGGATTCAAATAAATGTTTAAAGTGAGCTGTGCAAATCCTACCCTACTTTATCTCCACTGCTCTCTGTACCTTGTCTTTCTCCCTCTGGATGGCGCTCTCCAGCTCGTCCAGCTTGTGCTGCAGCTGAGTGATGATGTCCGTTTCAGCCTCCATCTGGTCGAGCTCCGCCTGCCTCTCGCCCTGCAGCAGGGCACGCTCCATCTCTGCCTGGAACAGAGGGCCAAATAAAAGTCACACAGTGAGCTACGAGACTAATGTCAGCCTGAGCTTCAGGCCTCCACGGAATTAACAGAAGCACATAGTAATGTCGACGTGACCATGAACTGTTTCAGCTTTTACTGCTTTGTCTCTTATAGTATATTGTAAAGTTTCACTATAATAGTATAATAGAAATGGAGATTTGTACCTGGATCTAAACTGGGTTTAGACTGAAGCCAAAAAAAATATTATTCCATGAGCCTCCACGTTCTGTACCTCTTGTTTGGACTCCTGGTGTTGCTGCTCCAGCTCCGTCAGCCGGGTTTTGAGCTCATCGATCCGAGCGAGAACACGAACCCGCTCGTCCTCCAGGTAACCCAGCTCCAGACGACCGGCGCTGCCTGAACTGGGTGAGTCCTCATGCTGCAGGGAGAGAGAACACAGGAGGTCAGGCTTTCAAGAGAGGAAGTGAAGCCAGGGGAGAGAGACGTACACACCTGTAACATGTCAGATACTGAATCGGCCTGTTGTAGTGTTGTACATAAATAAAGTTTAGGAAGGCCTTAACTTCAGCTTGCTGTACTGTGACATTCTCCATTCATCATCCGTACCGTTTATACACAATGTGATTTGATGATGTTTGTGGTTCGCATGGTCTAAATGCCCTTTAGGAGGATTTTCCAGCGACAAAAAACTCTTTTGGTACAAAAATGATCAGTTCAAATCATTTCAAAAGTATTGGATAACACCACAACACAACACAGTCCATTGGAGAGAGAGAGAAGAAGTGAGGGAACAGACACAGAAAGGGGATGGATAAATGAGGTTCATGCCGGAGACAATGTAAAAACAGACATCCCATAACTTAAAAAGTAGCTTGGGTAGCAGTCTACAACCAGCCCAAAAAGCCAATGAATTGGAATAAGAAAGAGACAGGTGCAGACAGTAGCTGACTGTAGCTCTGTGTAGTTCATTTATTCATCTGCGGTACAGTAAATGTACTTTGTTGAGTCAAGCGCCTTAGTGTTTCAGCCAGTATTTTCCGACTTTCTGGTTATGCATGGTCACAGTTATTACCATATGAGTGATATGAGATTCTGGTGAACCCTGACAATACCTTTTGGACAAAGTACAGTTCCATAACTCTGTAAACAAGGGGTTGTCTTAAGTTGTCATTCCACAAAACAGACTCCAAACGTCACCTAGTTGGATTTTCAGCCTGGTATATACAGTACTGTTAGGCCCAGGTTTATGTAGGTTTCCCTTCTGAGCGGCTCTACACTGTATGTGGAGAGCTAATAATGATGAGTGGTTAAACCTGGCACTATATGAACAAATTCACATGCATTGGCTACAATGGGTGATGACCATTAAAACTAATTCTGATAAGCTGAAACTCCCCTTCTTAAGGATCCTATAGAAACCCCTGAAGGGTTCCTGGTAGTCCTTGAACCCACTTAAAGGACCACTGATTTAGCAAAGCCAAGTACATCATGTGCACATGCTGGTTCCACAGTGGCATGCAGAGAGCGTCTTTGTTGGGAAATAAGCCTTCCCGCTGACCTGTCTGTCTCCATTGTGCAGTGCTGATGCTGTGCTGGGAGCAGGCGATGTCCTCACCTCCTGATGAGTGCTCTCTGTACTACTACACTCCTCCTTCAGGTTCTCCTCGTCACTCTCTCTCTGTCTCTGCGCCAGGCGGAGCGCGGCCGAGGACGGTGTCCCTCCTAGGACATTCTCCATGGACGGTCTCCGACCAAAGCCATCTGTCAGCCCCCCGGGAAAACCTGTCCTCCCCGAGCCTAGGGGGTCCAGGCCAGGGCTCTCTCCTTTGTTGTATTCGGCACAGAGGTTTAGGATGGTCTCCAGTCGCTGTCTCTCCTGTGAATCACAACCAGAGAGGGACATCAGATTAGGGTTTGACAGATCTTTTCCCAACTCTTCCCTTTGGCTTTTGAAAAACAGCAACAGAATTGGGGTCAAAAACACATCGTCTCACTTCTCCCACAATCTGTGACTTATAATGGATTTAAACCTGAGCCTAGGAAACAAAAGGCTGCTAAACTAGACACATTTAAATGATAAAACTCTGACTGTGTTAATAAAGGGCCAGTTTTGGCTTTATATTTCAACACACTGATATATTCATGTAACCCCACATCAGATTACACCCAGCTGTAGTACGGTATATGTCCCTGCTATCTCACTTCCTGTCTGTGTGCTGGTTAGTGGGGCTGCGCCAGAGACTGATCTGAAGATGGCCAGCTCACATAGAGGAGCAGACAGCAGGCATGAAAACTGTTTAATACATTATATATTTCAACCAGTCTCACTCAGGGTAATGAAAGTGCCAAATCTCCCATCTCCCAAATCTCCTACTTGACTGAACTGAATTCTGCCAAACAAACACAGCAGCCCACACCGCCCCTCTCCCCCGGGTGCTGCATGGGAGTCAAGACTCCATGACTGGTTGTCCAGCTGTCACTATGAGGGGTCAGCCCACCTATGGGGTAAATTTCAGCTGTTGTCTGCTGCTGTACCCCTCCGCTGCAGACACGGCGTCCCTGAGGTCTGCAGAGCCGCATGGACCGCAGCTCCACTGTGAGCGTGTTCTAGTGTTTGGGAGATGGTCTCAGTGGTCAGCTTAGATGTTTAGTGGTGAGACATCAAATTCATAAATCCCAGGCACCTCAAGGTCTTTCTCAGCAGAAAGATTGTGAATGCGGTTGACAGTTACAGAAAAAGTTAGTAAGTGGACCTTGAGTTAAGATCAGCTGTGGCAAACTTTAGACGTGAGCATTCGAATAGCTGAACGGCCTGGAAAAACTCATATCACTCAAACTGTAAATCATCAGGAACGCCCGTCCACAAAAAGGATTTCTTGTAAACAAGATGTTTTGGAGCCAAAGAAGCACTGCGTTGCTTTTTGCTCTTATGATCTAGTTCAGGCGCAATCTGTTTCTTGTCGTGCAGGAACACTTGGCAGCAAAATTATTCTCACCCACAAATAAACGCCCTGGTGCATCTTCTCCCTCACACTGCAGTGATCATCTCCTTCCCACCGAGGGAGCATGATTAGGAGCTACAGCCCCACCATTAGCTTTAACCTGTAATCTGGGAGCAGCTCGCTTTTAACATGGGTGGGAGTGAAAGACCCCCCCTTTGGGTTGTGGAACAGTGCTGTATATTCACCAGACTAACTTCAACAACATTTACTGGCAAGTCTACAGCTACTCATGAGTCCTCCCACTCAACATCTGCTTGAACATACACATAGATTAGACCACTCAGCGCTCCGACGCCCGTCTCGTTTTTGTCAAGAAAGCTGATTGAAAGCTGGCACTATCATTGTCTCATCTGATTGCCAGACAGCCTTTAGGCTACCGAACCTGTGTGATGAATGAGTAGCAGGATCACAGACAGATTTCAAACCATTAAATGTGTTCGGTCTCAACATAAATCAACTTGACGCCTGACATATGCAAACCGTGCTCATATTATGCTCCTAATCAACTGCATGTTGACAGATTTGCGTGAATTCCATATTTTCTCTTTTCTCATGTCGGTCCTTAAAATGCCAGAAGAATGTTTATGTTCTGAGGCACTAAAAATCCTTTAGTATTTTGGTCTCTATGTAGATGTCGTCAGCAGGTCCCTTGGGGCTCTGAGTGCTGGCTGGGAAGGAACAAGGTGTTACAACAGGTCAGTGTGTTAATCCAAACCATTTCACCAGTTGCCAAGCTCCCGTGTTCCAGTTGGAAACAGTGAGGTTTTGGCTTGAACCGCCTTAATATTACAATAGTTCAAGGAGGCTATGAAAATACAGGCTGTTCAGGTTTGCCCGGGTGAATGACTAAGAAATATTTCCTGTAATATAACAAATAGCTTCTCCTTTTTTTAAATTTGGGTCCTGAGCCTATAAAAACAACCATTAACCTGAAATCTGTTGTCAAAATTTGACCTCGACTAAAGAAAGAAAATCTGGGTTTACTCACTCTCATGATGGACACTGTGAGAAGTAACAGCTCAAGCCTTGAAATCAGGCACACAATTCAAGACAGCTCGGCAAAAAGACAGATGAACAAATACTGGCCTTTAAAAGCCAGTAACCCCCCCCCGTGACACCACCATAACAACAAACCCCCATCCTCTGGGATGGTAAGAGGCTGTTAGTGACAGAGCTCCACGGCAACATCCAATAATCTGCTATTTAGAGAAGCTTCTCGCATCCAATCCAAACGCCTATATACTGATTCATACCACAGCGGTTTCCATGGTGGTGTTTGTGAACTTTAGGGTCTCTGCAGGAATCACAAGGCATATTTCGAAATTGGACACCAGGAAGTTAGCTGTTTAGAAGCAAAGTCCAACTATTTAATGATTATAACCAATTTTGTTATGTACCACTAGTTGCATTGTATTATTTGTATTATTGACCAAGTTATAAATGCTTTATATACAGTTGATGAAGAAGAGATATAGGCTATCTAAAACATATTGATTTTTGTTTGCTCTGTATTTGGCCCTTGTCACTTGTAAAATAAGCTAGCATGTTTTAGTTCCCGCTCTCCTCTTGTACACCTGACCCACTTAAATCCCACACAACACCCTTTATTAAACCTTAATTAGATCAGGTGTGAGCCCTGGATGCATGTCGGTTTACTGACCCCTATTTGGAAGCATGTCAACTGACTTTTCTTTTCCGATTGTTTTGAGATGTTTTCTTCGAGAGTCCTACACCACCTTATCATCAAATACGTTGCTTTTTGTCTGAAGCTGATCTGTACCGAGCTCTTCTGTATCTGTTAACAGTGGAAACAGCCTCTGCGGGCCCTGCTGTGTTACCAGGGGAAAATAGAAGGAAAGCCAAATCACACGTCTGAAACCGCTAACAATGTGATTCACATAAACACATAAAGGTTAGTTTAGCCATGTTTGCCAAACACCTCCTGAAAAACAGTGGTCATACACTGAATCAATATTTATCCATTAACTTTCTGTGAGCACAAACTTTCCTTCCATGATTGATCACTAATGTCAGCTTTCTGCACACACTTTAAATAGCAGCAAATGACTCGGCGCTTTCCTGTATACTTAATTAATATCTCCTATAACAGCGTGTCCTAGAAATGTGTCTTCTTCTTATTAAATTCCTACACTGTCAGTCAAGACTACTAGTCAACTAGGTTATTCTAGCTGCAACATTATGTAGTGTAAATCCCACACATGTGAGTTTTTACAGAAAGCCTTAGTGCAGGGTCAAAGTCCTCTAGACTCAGAGTCTATCGGGGGGGGGCGCATAATACTTCCAGACAATCGTTGAGTTTGTGAAGTAGTGCCTGGTTCCCAGAGTTCTCCATGCTCCAGCCTGCATCCACCCCCCCAGACACCAGTTCACACATTCCACAGCCCTCCACGTCTCACCTAGTGGGTGGCTCTCATGAATACTGGGTTTGATAAAGACATTTTGACGTTGCAGCTGCTGCTGCTGCTGCTGCATTGTTCAAAATGTGGCTATTTCATGCCAAAAAATGAACAAACTGTTGTTCAGGTGGAAATTAACTAGTGGTGACATAATTATAAAACTATGACTTCACTTGTGAGAGTTGAAGTGAGACTGTGCAACAACAAAAGAGGGTCATACAGCTGTCCACATATGAGACTGTTTGAGGACATTTATGTAACTTGGTTTCATTCATAATAGCACCCATTTAATAGTATTGAATTTCTATTTAAAGATTCTCTATAGACAGCAGCTTTGAAGTCAAATTACCTCGGAGTAAGTGTTTATATTGAGTTCCACAGCACACCTTGCTAAATGTTAACAAAAAAAATTAATTTTAATGGCCACATTTACAAACAATTAAAATTTGTTAGCCTGATGATGGTGACCTGGTTCATAAGAAAAAGACTGTGCCATTTCATCTTTGAAAAGTCACACAATGTGGCTTTAAACTAATTATTTAGTATTATTTAGTCAACTACTGTCTCCTCTTTGTAGTATTTAAATGATGCAACAATGTTGTTTTGTTAAACACAACATCTTCAACAATAAATGTGCAGCAATTAGGAATAATCCCATTCATTCATTCTCTTATGGACCGTAGCCAGTTTTCTAATGTGACATCCTGCATCTCACTCTGTCAGTTTTTCCTCATTTAGTCAGTTCTGTCTCCTCGCTTTCCTTTCCTTATTTCCATCCTCCCAGCAGTCAGCATCTCCTCCTCATGTCTCCTCTCTCCCCTGAGAGTCAGTGTCTCCTGTTTTCTCTCATGCCCTTTAATGTTCCTCCCTCCTCTTCCCCGAGCGCCCCGGGGCCGTCCCCCTCCTGCGTACCTTTGATCAGAGCGGTTACTTTATTAGTGTACAGCCGTATTCTTCTTTGCCATGTTTACCTACGTCACAGGCGTAAACAGTAATCTCTCACGCATAGTTTTTCGAGACTATACCGGGAAAATTCAACAAAGCCTTATTCTCTATATATATCTGCAGGCACTCCGTAACAGTCTGCAAAACAAACCCCATTCATGATTAGTCTCTGATCCTTGGAGGGTTCATCATGTTCAGGTCCCAGAGGAGGAACAAACAGATGATCCTAACAAGAGATTTTTGTAGCTATTTTTTTCTCCCTCTCTGTGGAACACATAAGTATCAAAGCCAGGCGGGGGGAATAGGACAAGAGACTCTCCAGCGGCAGCCAACCGCTCTGAATAATAAGCTGGTGGTCCTCCATATTGACGATGATCTCAAGATGAAACTATGGAGGTGTTGCTCCCGGTGGGTGCGGCTGGTATTTAAATCGCCCAGGCTTCCGCTTCAACTGGGATCCAACCCTGGAGGCATCCCTCAAAGTGAGGACCGGGTTCCAGTTATCATGTCAA